ATAAGGTGATCAATATTGATCACCTTGTATAAGATCAAAAAACTCTTATCGCATAATTCTACTATAAGCGGCGATCATCTCGCCGCATTTTCAACTATAGTTGGAGTGATTCAAATGAATAATCCACTAATCCAGCAATCCCCATGAAATGATTGTGGCGGATGTTAGTAAGGTCACATGTTTATTGAGCATGAGGGAGAGACGCAGAACTTATAAGGCGCGCATTGACCTCAGAGAGAGCATCATTCGCATCCAAGTAGAGTGCATGGAAAATTACGACCGGGCGGCATGATCACAAAGGGCGCATTACATCCATGAATTCGAGTTGCTAAGTTGTTAAGATGTTCGGGTGCTGTGAAGGTGGAACAAACACAAATCGAGGAGAAACGAAAATCGCCCATAACCTGGCTTCAACTGGAACATCATCTGCACTCAGCTGATCTAAGTTCTCAGAGGAAGTGCCTCGACGGCACCTGTTTCATCCGGCCCATCTTCCCATCTTCCGTCCAGTCAACCCAGGTTTTTCTTCAATTTCTTTTTACCTACATACTCGACAATCCCTGCCTCTCCTTCTGCGTCGGGTTCCGCACTCGGCGGCTCCGCCTCCGCTCCTGCCGTCCGTTTGGACTTCTTGTCTATTCTGCGCTTCTTCGACACTATTTCGGCTTCATGCACTGCCGCATCCATTTCGGACTGCTCATCGCCATGCCTCTCCCTCCTTCCCTTCTTCTTGTTCTGCTCAAACTCGGTTGTTTCCTCCTCTTCAGCAGGCTCCTCTCCATGCATTTTTGCTGCAATCTCATCAGATACCGCCCCTTCATCTCGCTTCGCTTTCTTCCCCTTCTTTGCTGGAAGACCTTCTCCGTTTGCCCCCTCATCCCGGTGCCCAACTCCTTCCATCGCCAAACCCTCCCTCTTCCCCAGCTCCTCACCGTCCACGTGCCGCTTCCGTTTCCGCTTTTTTTCGTTCCGTTCCGTTGCCCCATCATCCTCCACCACCAAAGCTGTCTTCGCCTCATGCTCAAGCACGTCACCGTCCACCTGCCGCTTCCGTTTCCGCTTCTTTTCCTTCCGTTCCGTGGTCCGACCGTCCTCCCCGGCTTCGTTGCCCCCATCGACCCTGTCCTCATCTTCTTTTTCAGGGAGTTCGTGCGCCTCTTCTGTGGCCCCATACGCGCCCCCCTTTGGCGAATTCTTAATCGGACGCTCTGAGAAAAGGTCCGCAAACATCTGACGCGCCCCCTCGGACGCAGACACGTGGGCCCGCCACGAGACCGGCGAGCTCTTGTACCTGAAGGCGAGGCCGTCAAGGTGCCGTCAGTTTTCAAGGCCTCGCTTGACTTTTGTTGAATGCCCTAAGCTTCCACCCTCGGCCTTGCTCAGAACGTTCTCCTGGCCTGGGCAAAGTTCTGGATGCGAGAACTTGAGATACCGTACTGCTTTTTAGTTTCGGCAAAAAACGAAAGATTACTTGCCCCGCTGAGAATGTTGAATCATTATCCAAGCGCGATAATGGTACTTTTTAGCAGGCAACGCTGAGTCTGCCGAAAGTTTCGAACGTTTGAATACTCATTTGGCGTCGAAGGAGCCGAATTGAAAAGCAGTTCTGTTTGGATACCGTGTAGAGCAAAATAATATGCAAAATCGAAGAATAGAACCGACGAGCGAGTTGTCCAGAGAGGGCCTGAGCACGTAGATTCTTGAATTCTCTCGTGAGCAAAAGATCACAGTATTGCAGAACTCTACAAGGCAGAAAATACGGGTCCAGGCTCAGAAAGGGGTCTATTTGGCCGCATGACGTGCAGATTTCTGAGGACAACTCAAAATTCGAGACACCTTGAAGCCCCGAACTTTGAGGTGGATCGTTTGCAAAGAGCCACACTGACCCCGCAGATCGTGTGGTTGCCGGATAAACGCGCACAGCGCGAGAGGAGACAAAACGAATGCAATGAATAACATGTTAAGAGGAAGCTCACAGTGAGACGCTGGCCTTGAACAATACGTGTGGCCCGTGCGATGTGCGCAGGAGCGCAGCTTCGCCGTCAGCCAGCTCACCTACAATTGCCTGCATTTGGGGTTTTCAAGTTTTAGGGTTTTAGGGTAGAATATCGCAACCGTACGAGATGCACCGCTGCGCTGTTGCCCCTGTCACGGTTGCCGACATTACAACCAGTCAAAAGTCGCCTCGCTGTTCTCAACCTGGTGAGATGGACGGCTGACGTCACTCTCGATCACAGCTGCTTTGCTGGATCAAGACGGGTGGACACATCTTCTAAACCCAACACTTTGGTCGTTTGCCCATGACCCTTTACGCTCTCCGCATCAGAAGCCCGACATGCTGCACTGAAGTAGCATGCGAGCCGCCATATAGATCCGGACAAATATAGAGTAGCTAAGCCTTCAAAACACAAGAACCGTCAATTTGCAGCATCATAGGGCACTTACGAGGAAAGCGCGTCCGTCAGATTGTCCGCGGAGGAACAAACACCGGCCACGGAGGCACACTATTGAAGAATCGAAACACTTGTGGTCCTCGTACAAGGAATCAGCAAAAGAGCCGAGCTCAGAGTGCCAAGACTGAATTCGCACATCGGCACGTGTCCGCACCTCTTTCAGCTTAATGTCGGCTGCCGTGAAGCATTTTTCGACGCAGTGCGAGCCGGAGGGATCCCTCGCCAGCTCAGCAAAGTGTCCGCGCAACCTGCACACGGATCTGTGCACTTCAGACATATTTCGGGAAATTGTGCAGCCGTATTTCAGCACGTCCAAGGAAAGGTCGAGTCTTCGTGCACAAGGAAGAAGGGGGGAGGGGAAAAAAACTGCCAGGTGAACATTCTCTACAAAGCTTTTCCCAGTACGTTGTCAAAAGTAGCTTCAAGGGTGGCTTCTGGTTGACACGTCAATATTTCTGAATGCTGTGTCAGTATTTTGTATGAAAAACGGAGTTATCGGCTCAGAGTCGCGATCCAGCAGCTCAGAGATCTTCCCTGAACACCACCAAAACCAACCCCAGAAAAGATGCAGCTGAAAATTCCAGATGGCATCACAAACAATCACAGTTTCAGCGTTGTATCTTGCTTTTCGCACCTCAGGAGCATACGTGTTTAAAACCCAGAACTCTACTGTCTAGGAAAAGCTTATCGTTGAAGGAACGAGGAAGTATACGCAGTACAATGCCACATCCCCCCTTTGTTTTTTCTTGGAGTGCGGCTAGAAAAAGCGTTTCCTGCAAAACCCGATTTTGAGCGTTCTCACCGGCCTACAAACAGCCGCTTCTGCTTGTCTGGCGTGGGCCCCGTAAGGAACGCTTCCACGACGCGGCTGCCCCCTGGGTCGCTCGCGAGAGCGACGCACTCCGCCTCCGTCAGGCTGCCCACACTGTCCACAAACGGCTGGCAGCTGCCCTGCAATCAGAATTGCATCATGCAAATGTCAGCTGTTACTTTGAGTGAGCATGACAGGGAAAACAGCGTCAAGGAAAAAGGATTCAATTTAGCCCGGAAAAGAGTAGGGAAAGAGGGAATGTGTCGTTGGAACAGCTCCAACGGCTGCGCTCCAAGGTTATTTGCGAGCTGGTGGATCTCAAGATTCTCTGCCTGATCTGGAAGAGCTATCTTGCACACATAAAAGACACGATTTAGGATCACACGTTGCCACGGCTTGTGCCGGACTGACACCACCTCACGAAGGTACTTGTTGCACCAGGGAATGTTCAATTGAAAATCAGGCGGCCCAAGCATGCAAACCAACTTTGCAGGTTTCAGGAAGCGATTTCCGCGACCTGCAGAAGCCTCCGACATCAAAGCAAGCATAGCGCCAAAACCATTTGCTTCTATGGTTGCTCGAAGCACCCACACCGGCAGCTGTGAGGCTTCCTTCCGCAGCCTCTCTCACTCGTTGGTCGGCTATTTTGCGGCCACAATACTCTGTTTCGGCTTCTACTGTCGCCCTGCATCGCTTCCTGACCCGCAATATTAGCAACACTCCTGCCTGGTGCCTCACCTTGGGAAAGCCGAACATTGTCGTAAGGATCGCACAATTCAGCGGGGGCAGTTTGCCCCACCGGTTGCCAGACGCAATGTGCTGGTCGAGAGCCAACAAGTCGGAGACGACTCGAGTGGGGGAGGACGATTGGGCGGTCAGGGCGCGTGCAAGCGCCCGGCAGACCTGGACAAGGGAGAAACAACAGAAAAAGACCTTGGTTCATTCGAAAAACAAGTTTGCCAAGCCGGTTGTCTGATAAAATGTGCTGGTCGAAAACCAAGAGGTCGGGATCAACCCGAGAAGGGGAGAACGATTGGGCGATGAGCACACGCGCATCCGCCCAGCAGACCTGGAGAAAGGGAACCCACAACGGTGTTTGTGGTTCCAAGGGGCCAAGTCTCCTGAGAAGTTTCCGTTTGTTTGACGTAGATTGCTGATCCCGAAAGTCCCGAAAGGTCTGAAAGGGCTGTTGGTTCTGAAGATTTTTGGGGAAACGGACGACTAAGTACTGTGTGCGTCCTTGCTCAAAAGCGTCGCAGACCCTGGGCTTTGAAGAACAGTACTAAATCTATAAACCCGAAGCAACACTGGAGAAGCTGGAATAGAGGAGAGGCGTGTTCAGCTTGCTAGAGCAACCGGCCAGCGAGCTAACCAACGGCCAGACCAAGGTTTCTCCCGGCCAGGCCCAGTTGATTTTATTTCCCCCCGAAACGCGTGTTCAGCTTGCTAGAGCAACCGGGCAGCGAGCTAACCAACGGCCAGACCAAGGTTTCTCCCGGCCAGGCCCAGTTGATTTTATTTCCCCCCGAAAGAGAAGCACCCTGTGGCTCCACCTCTTAACGTCCCCGCGCTTGTCCCTGAATTAGCTTCCACGATTCCACAAAGCCCGCTTTGCCGTTTGCACATCCCCTTCGTGAAACAAGTCTGCAAAGCCGCAGGGCTCCTGAACCTGCAAGTAGGGGCGACAATATCGGAAAATTCGGGAGTTCAAAGCCGATTTCTACCCCTTTCGCTTCAGATATGGACGATCGCACTAACCTCCTTCTCATAAGTGCCCAGACGGCCGCAGCTGGCCACGAGCGCAGCGATCACGCCTCCCCGGTTCTCCCGCAGCAGCTGCGGGAAGTGCTCCTCGAGTTCCTCCGCGGCAGCTCTCACCTGCGGATATAACTGAATGTTAACCAGACCTCGGCAAGAGTTCCTGCATACATCAGGCCTGCGAGAGTTGGATGGGGGTTCGAAACGACTTCCGAATCCCAAGGACCGAAAGTTCCGCAAGCAAATGCCGAAACTCGGAGCGGTGGAAGACCCGACGTGATGACTCGCTTGCAAAAATAGTTGTGCCTCTCCTGCAAGAGCGACGCAATGACCAGAACGCTGTTCATTGACCAGAAACATTGCAAGTCAGATCATATTATCTGTTGCTTGAAACAATCCTGGGAAAATATGTGTAGTGACAGGAGCGATACTATGTCTCGTATGATGGCTCAAATGGGAGAGAGCTCTTGCGGACCAAATGCGCGCCTACTTGGCAGAAGCAAAGCGACTCTAAGAAAAAGCTTCGTAGGAGCCCCATACACATGGATCTACAGTGATACCAGATGCGAGCCTACCAGATCGGCGCCGTGGGCTGCGGCAAACATGGCCTGGAGCACGAAGTTGGCGGACGGATGCAGCGCCAGGTCTTTCAAACTGCCCCGGAAGAAACGGTCAAAGAACTCGCTTTGAAGGCGGGGCGGAGAAACCTTGACAATCACCTGCGGAGAAAGACATGGGTTGGTGAGGTGGTTAAGCGAAATCGAATCAAGCCGTTGAATTGGAGCCTGGAAGCTCTTTCAGGCTGCCACGGAAGGAGGCATAAACAGCGCGGCCTGGAGGTCAGGCGGGGACAATTTCACGATGACCTGAACAAACGAAGCTTCTGCTACTTGTGGCTTTCGATCTAGACTTCTGTCGTTTGTTTTCAAAGGTTCCTATGGATGACCCAGGGTCTCGCCATAGTCCTTAGTTAGCTGTTCCTGTCTATATCTATTTTACTCGTAAGTTAACGGGAATTGATGCAAATTCAGCGGCGTCGAAGCAGTCCGTTGAGCGGATCGTGCAACTGCCTGCTTGAGAAACGGCCCAACACCAGCAATGCCGTGTACGTATCGGTGTGAAAGATTGGATGGTAATTATCAATCACGTCCCGAACAGGAATTTCGCACCTCCGAAAGACAGGTGCCAGACCGAGTCAGAACAGGAGAATTGCAACTCTGAATAATGAAAGCCAGAGTGGTTGAGAGAGAAGTGAATCAAACAAAGAATTGTCCAAGCAGCCGAGAACAGGCTCACCTCGACCAGGTGGCTGCCGCTTCGCTCGCGCATCAGCTCCGCGACTTCGTCAGGGTCGGCGCTCGCGAGAACCTCGCCTGGTCTAGTTGTGATGACCTCCTCGGGGCAGCCCAGAAAGGCGCGCACCATTCGTTCGAGCGGAACTTCTTGACCCTCAAGAGCGAGAAGAATGGCCTGCCGAGAAAAGATAAAATACTCAAGGCGAGGGCTTTTGTGCATGGAGAAGCTGAGAATCAGGGGAGAGTTTGCGGAAGGGAGCGTTGCAGATAGAGAAGCTGGGGACGAAGGGAAAGGTGAAGGCTGGGGCCTTTGCAGATGAAGAAGCTAAGAGCGAAGGAAGAACTAAAGGCTGGAGGCTCCGCAGATAGAGTACGATCGGCTGCAGTCCTGAGATAGACGATACCGTTCAACTTTCTCGTGAAGTTATTCCCTCCAAAGCCAGTCCGGATAGTGTGCAACAGACGAGGGCCACTGCTTCCTCGGAAACGAGAGGAGTTGCAAGAAAAAACAAAAGCCTCCGAAAATGCAATGTGAAGATCGATTGGCTTAAAATGCTGATCTTGACGATTTTCTTTTTATCAAGAGAATATGCTCTACTTTGAAGCTCAGGAGTCGAAACATTGGGATAAGTTACACAGCTGTCAGATCGGGACAAAGCCTAAGCGAAGACACTCGAACACGCATAGACCCACTGCTGATGTCAGTATCCCCCCAGAACAAGCGTCCAAACCACCCTGTGACTCCACGCGAGACCGATCCAGACAACCATAAACGAGTCAGCTATGCTTTCAGGACTGCCCGAATCAACGTAGACAAAAGATCGACCAACCTGCAGCCCCGGCCCTGCTGACGAGTCCAACCTCAGCTGCTTCACATGTGGCCCGGCCGCGGCAGCTATTCCCTCCGCAAACTGCGCCAGAAGCGCTGGAAACGGAGCCTCAACCGGCCTTTGCCCCCGGTTATTCCCTCTGGGCGCACGCTGCCCGTGCCCCAGGTGCTTGGATTGGCCCGGTTGAACGTCCCGGCCACTCAGAGTGGAGAGGATGCGCCGCAGGACGTGGCTCCCGTAGCGGTCGCAGAGGAGGTCGACAGCGGTAGCGCTGGCGGCCTGAAAATGCGAGCATGTCTTTGTTCCTCGACGAAATATGAGCATTGGTGAAGTGCCTTTTGAAAGCGTCCCAACTGCGACATGAGATTGCAGGGCTTCGACTAAGCAGGACTTGAAAGGTTGAGGCAAAAGGGGGACGTAAATCGGCAACTCGCAACTGAAGCGGGTAAGTACGGATTGCCGGATTCCAAAATCTTCCACCTCCTGCCACGAAAATGGCTAACACATTTTCCGTGCAAGCAATAGATATTGGAAGGAAATTACACTGAACATACAGAACCAAGAAGAATGCTAAAAACCGATGGCAATCACTACGAAGTCCCCCCCATCGAAAGGCACCAAGTGAAGCCAGCGCCAAAGTACGCAGATGAAGGAGAGCATACTGAAGCAGACTACCGAAAAGAAAAGAACCTGCAAGGTTAGAATAGCGAGCCCCACCTTGCAGACAGCCGAAAGAGCCTGCCCCGCCGCCCCCACATCTCCATGCTGTTTGAGCGCTTGAAGCGCCGTTTCTATGATGTGGCTCCCAGAATGGTGGCGTGCCACGGCTTCAAAATGGTCCCCGCATAGGCCAGTTAGAAAGGACAGGAGGCTCGGCAGCTCCGCTGACGTCAGCAAGGCCTCGAGTGTGCGGCCACAGGAGGCGTCGCACGCGAGGGCCGCCTGGGGGGAGGAGAACTTCCTTTGAGATTCACTTATTTCCCATTTCTCCACAGCAGCCTTGTCGTTGTATCCAGAACTTTGACTCTTGCATATTCAAGCAGGAGTTTCTTGCGTACCTTTCTTAGTACGCCTCTGCAGACTGACCTCTGAAGTGCTGGCCAGCTGATCATGATTGAGGTTTGAGCCGTCTGTTTGCATAATCAAGATGTGGTGTCTTTCTTTTGTTGGTGCAATAACTCTCTTCCTTTCCACACGATGCACAATTCCTGGCATTCAACGAAGCATGGAGACCGATTCACCAGGAAAGAATGCATCCATCCCCTCGCTCCCGCTGCCCTCAGCTCTTCCGCCCCAAAATACTCAATATATCCATTGGTGGTAATGGATGCAGCAAAACTGTTATAAGCTGAATCAATGAAAACGTGCATGTGTAGCTGTTGATACGAATGGCTCATACCTCGCTTCCTTGTGCTTCTTCCAGCCCGTTGTTGCAAAGGATCGTCAGCTCTGTAGAGGACAAGTAACAACAAGAATGAAAGAGGTCAAGAACTGCGATGGCTTAGGCTGTCTCTGGGGCAAATCCCACTTCTGCAAGAAAGTTTCAAAAATAAAGGGTCCCCTGACACAAGCAAATAAATGTAAGGAGAAAACGGAGCACAGCTATTAGATATCACTTCAGCATTCATGAGGAAAAACACACGTCCAACACCAGAGGGGGTGGACACAAGTCGTAAAATCTTTAATCAAAGTGGTCAGTAACAATGATCATCATGGCCAGAAAGAGTGGTGGTTAAGCGGTCCGCACACATAGGTTAAACCACCACCTCAATCAACATGCATTGTTTTTCGTCGACGCTTCGCAAAGAGTCTCACCCTCTGGATCTTTGATGGTCCCATTTGGCCCAACAAGTGGCGCAATCTCCTGGAAATACTGCCGCAAATCTGCATTCAATTTTAAGCCCTCGCCCAGCACTGGGTAACTCTCATTGTAACTGTTGTCCCACTCTTCGTTGACTCCTCTACAACCGCCAGCTTCATAGCCCTTCCCCTTTCCCTTTCCTCGAAAATCTGAACGCCCTCCTTCAGGTTGGCCCCTGCCAGAGTACTCGCTGCGGGGACCAGCATTCTCTCTGCTCTTGTCACGCCCCATTCTTGCGTTAAAGTTCCCAGAACAAAACTAAAAACACTTCAACAGGTGGCACTGGCAGCCCCCTCTTTGTTGCCTTCCCCTCTTCGTTGCCTTGCCAATGCAAGTTGCACTTGCAGTCTCTGCGCCCAGAAACGCTGAACAGTGTTTAGGGTTTTCCAATCTGCGACTTCGAGCATATTAACTCATGAAACTTTGTGTGTACATACTTGAGGCTGAGCTGTTGCATCGTTTTGGATGCGCTGAAAAGCGGGTAAAAAGCGCAAAAGTGGAGCTATAGGGCTGCACATTCCACCCCCTCCAGGTGGAACCATCATCCAGGCGCCCGTTCCGGGAGGGAACTCCTTGTTGCAAGTATCCACCGCAGATGGTGCCAAGCCGCAGCGCCTGTGCTTGAGCAACCAACAGCAACTCAGGTGAGGGGCAGATATTTGCCGTCTAGCTTAGCAGTCGCCAGACGAGCAGGTAGGGTAGATACAATGCTTCCAGAATGCAGCAAAGAGACTCTCGTTGCTCTAGTTATTTGATTTCAGACTGAATCGAAGGTAAAACAAATGCGCGTTGATTTCCAGAATGGTCCACTTTTATCGCAGACATGGCTGGCGAATGGCCTCTAAGCAATGTCATTACAGAGCAATGCGTTTGCTATTCTGCATAGGCGCCAAGACAAGGATGAAAATCTGAAACCCTTTAGGACATATGCAGGCCAGGATTAAAATTCCAGTCACCGACCAGCTACTCAAGCGAGCTTTGAGGCTCTTAGACCGCGGTCATCAACCAGATTTTGATGCATTGGAGCAAGTGCACAACAATTTGAACCATTTTGAGAGATGAGACTTGCGTTCCAATGCTATCGTCTCCGATTGAACATTCTAATTTGCTGCCTCTTTGCAGGAGTTGCTTGCTGCATAGAGCTGCTCACTCGTGGCTTTAGCCTTTCATTAGTTTCTTGGAAAGATGGCGGCAGCAGTAGCAGCCAGCAAGGGACTGGTTCTGGCCTCTCTTCCATGGGCTGCTACCACTAAGGGGTCCTGTCTGAAGGGACTCCGTTGTCTGCCGCCACTGCCGGCACGCGGTCGTCGATCTCCCTGCTTGAAACGCTCAGCAGTGAAGCAGTGCCGCGCCGCCCTCCAGGAGGGCACAGAGCAGGGCCTGGAGCGTAGCTCCAGGACTTCAGAAGTCGTTGAACGGGTTGTGTCGGAAGCTGAGGTAGGGAGACAATCTGCCTTCTAAGAGGGATCTTGCTGCAATGAAAGGAGTTGAAGCTTTCATTCTGGAGCACCTTGCATCATCATACTTTGTGGTTGTTGAGTCCGTGAAAATCCACATTACTGACCGAGCTTCAAGGACTCAGCACTGTTTGCATAGGTTGCTCTTGAAATTCTTGGGCCTCAAAGTCAGCAGTGAACCAGGCTGTCACAATTCAGAGTGCTATTCAATCTTGCAGGCAGCGTCAAGTGGCTTCGCTGGGTTGCCCGCTGGGTTGACGATCTCATCAGCGGTGTGTTTGCTAGAGGTGAGTGAGAAACTCCCCCCACTATTTTCCTTCCTTCAATGCAGCACCTTCCTTGTATGTATGTTTTTGAGCGTCGAGGAAATTTTGTGTGGAATTTCAGCAACATATTCCAGTCCGGATGCACCTTTGGGGGCAAAGTATCGCCGCCGCAATCACTTACCACTTCAGCTGTCTGACACAAATGTGTGGTCGTGACAGCTATTTGCCACTGGTGTGGCGGAAGCGAAGCATGCGCCCCAAGTGGACGCCGGAGCCTTCTTCACCAACTTGACCGTCGATGGGCTCATTGAGTGGACGCTCACGGTTGGAGCCTTGACGGTCTTCTACTTCCTGGTGGCTCCGGTACGACGAGCGCGCCCGTTTTGGTTTGTTGAGTATGCAACAGAGACTCTTTTCCTGATCTTGCAAGTCTTCTTCACAGTGTCCAAACCTTGCTTATTCCCAGCACGCAAGATCGGTGCTTTTTGGGGTGTCTTCTTGCACAGACATCGAACCAGCACCTGTGGTCCCACGGCCAATTTGATCGCATCAGTTCAATGTCTTCTGCAGCCTGTTCTGCTCACGTACTTCCTGAAGCGGTGGAAGAAGAAGCAACTCGCGGAGACCATGTTCATGTTTGCAATGGTCTTCATCTTCTTCCCGGGGTAAGATCCGGTTCCATCTTCTGTCTCTTTGTCGTGGGACTTTCAACGATGGTCGAGCAGGGGTATATCTTGAAGCAGGTTGCAAGCATCTCGTTAGCTTCTTGTTTTTCCATTTGGAGGACTTTACTCACGATTTTACTCGTTTTCTTTGCAGCCTCATGATCTGGGCACCCTTCATCAACACAAGGCCTTTCGCTAGGGCTACCGGAAGGTACACAGCGGAGACAGACAAGGCAGCATTCAGAGGAGACGAGTGGAGGTAGTATATGATGTCACTCGGTCACTTAGTACTTAATTGCGCGTAAGGAAGGGGTGATCCAAGAACTGTTCCATATTGGAAGCTGCACCATCTGGATTTGAAGGTCAGTTGTGGTTGCCCTGCAGACGCTTCTTATCGACCATTGACGGTAAACTGCGTCTTCATTCACCAGACTAATCAATACAAGGTGGTCGAACGGGCCTGTATAGCCAGCCAGCACCATATGACCAACCAAGCTACCTAGCGCGGCCGCCGTTTACTCATGTGCCTGCTGGCCTTGCCGCCTAGACGGAGCATTCTGCTGCTGCATATGCAACCCTAGCCGGCTGACTTTGTAACGAAGATTTGTTGACGCGGGCCACTGATGCTTCAGTGAAACAGATGTCAATGCATCTAGCTTGGGTCTGACACATTGAATGCTGTGATATGAGTCGGAGCCGCCCGGATTACTTGTGCGAAACCTTTGATCATTCTTGCTTCCGGCTCTGCCATTGGTATCATTGGCCGCTTGCCGCTGCTGGCATGTCAGGCGTGTTGATCGCTACAAGCTGACAAAGTCGACTAAGACTGATAGCGCACATGTGCGAATCCGGCCTGATCATTTGCACTTGATGCTAGTGCACGGGGGGGCCCAAGATCAACCGGCCAGCAATATTACTGCCATGCAGGCTGAGGGCCATCACAACAGACATGATTGCCGTCACTGTCTGATCGGCTAGGGAAGTTTCGATACGATCAATTTGTAACCACCTGGCATCTACCAATCGATCGACCGCATCTATGATCCTGCATATACTGATTCCAGCTAGAAAAGAGGTGCGCATGTGGCACCCAAGCAGCAGCCCGCGCAGACGGTCCTTTAATCCGAATCGACTGAATCAATTGATGACCCAAGTCAAACACCATATATAGAGTCTTGAACTGGTGCCCTTAAGTGACGTGATCATCCAAATTAGCTGTGTCAGTATAGATTCATGAAAAAAATACTTATGTTCAGGCCTGCATAAGACGTATGTTTTTCAGGTATGACCCGGAGCACCCGGAGCCGCCCCAAAGGCAGTTAGGCTTATTGGCTACCACTATACAACGACTGAAAAGACGAAGACCTACACTTCCTCTACCAAGGAGCCTTCGCATAACAACTCGTCCCACGAGATGCGAAGGCACCCTCCTGCAGACTGATCGGGCACTACAAACGGCTACCGACCTCGCGGGGCTGCCATCTGTTTTAAATGCTGAAGAGCTTTATTCTGAATCCATTTCCGGTCACATGGAATATAAGCACTCAGCTCCTCGTCGAGACTGCACAACAGACAACAATTGCGGTTGAGCTTTCACAGATCGTCTTGTTGGCACCAGTTTCCTTAATAGCATTGAAGATTCACCAAACCTGCCAACTGTACGTGTTTGAAGAGAGGTGGTTGCTGGCTCAAGGGCACAAGCAACTTGCGACCATAAGATGGAAACAGTACGACCGAGAGTCATGTCATCAGGATAACACAAGTAAGAGAAACGGATGGAGAACTTACACGAGGGCACTGATATCATACAGGCTGTCGATATATCCTGCGGAAGGGCCGGCAGAGGAGTAAGGTGAGGGGGGTCACCTCAAAACCACGGACTCCACAGAGATGAAGGAACCAGGAAATGAGGTCCAGGTTGGATTGGCTCACCAGTATCTTGTTTTGCTTTCTGGACGATTTTAGATCCAGCGGAGCCATCAAAAGAAGCCTGTGGCACACTTGAAGCACTCAATCTGAAGCCCAACGTTTGTGTATGCGAAGGACGTGTCCTGATGAGGAAACTTCAGAAGCATCTTCATTGGAGTGCGGTTAAAGTAACTAGAGCAATGGAAGGGGCATACCAACGAGGGTATTGCAGCTTGTGAATTGCAGACGCAGTTATGTGGGCAAGGGGCTGTGTGTGACGTCCACTCACCGAACAGGTCGGAAACATCGTAAGTAATATTCCGCACGTTGGGGCTTCTTTCTTTTAGAAGTTTCTCAAATCTTGCACATAGGGCATCCATGGCTGCACTGATGGTATCATGCGATTCCCAGGTGCGAGACCCTTGGGCCTTTTGTAGCTGATACAACATGATTGTGTGGCCATTACTTGAGGACCCCTGCACAGCAGAGGGGGACAACAATCTGTTCAACAGAAAGCAGGAATTCAATCGACTCTGCCCGTACAGCTCAATGCTTGCTGTCAGCTGCGTCTGCAGTACAAGACGCAAAAACTGTTTGCACACAGATGAGGCATTGTGTAGCAAAATCCTAAACCACCTGTCACATCCAGAAGTGCCTCAAAAGCATTTCTTGGGCCTGATAGAGTGTTGGCCACACAAACAGCCACATGCTCAAAAGGTGAGCAGGATGTTGAAAACCTTGTGTTACATGACCTTTAGGTTGGGCTTACCATTTTGCAGCGACTATGCGCCACCCGCAGATTGGGGCGCTGTGTTGAAGCTGACACCCTTGCCTCGTGGACTTCAAAGCTGCTCGGAGGCTGCAGCAGAAGCCTAAGGCAACTACGGTACTCTTGTCAATCCGTCCACCCTCACACACTTCGGGCACTGCTGTTCTGCTCGAGTTCTCAGGTTGTGGGAAAGCTGTGGAACATATGGAGCTCTTCTTGTGAACGTGCAAGACAGACACAGCGAAACGCCTAACCTTTACGTGCGGTTAGCCTAACCAGCCCGCGCCGCTGGTAACAGAATCCACCCGGAACACTCAACCGGGAAGCTGCCGCAGGACATCTCGAGGTCGGCAAACCCACCAGTGGCTGCCCTACGTTTCACACGATCGCCGTCGCAACAGAACAGGTTCGAAATGGTCAAGGGAACGAGAGCGACCATGCATCATGCAAGCTAGGGTTGAAAGCCACGAGAGAATCAGCTCGCAGAGTTGCAGCTGGAGGAGTGGTTGAAACATCGATGGCTGCGCAATGGCGGTGACGCACGTAGCTATTTGGAAGCTCTGCTAGCGAGCGGCATACATTCTCCTTGAGAACAGTTGATGGCAGGTGGTGGTCAGGGGCAAATCCGAAGGGCGCAGTGTATGACCTGTGAAAGAACGCAAGGTCCAAAAGCGACCTTATTGACTGCACCTGCAAACCAGCAGAAAATCATCTAGAGCACTTTCCTCGTGCTTTTCCTGATCAGGATTCCCTATCTAAGCAGTCTGATGCACATCAAAGGGGGGCCTAGCACCTTGCGGTGCATTACCAAAAGTTTCCTTTGTAGCTAGTGAGCTGGCTCCCAGCTGCAAAACCCCTCAGCATAATGCACCTCTCCGCTGTGTCTTGTCTTGGGGTTGGGGCCCTCACATATTCCATCTCCCCAGCATGGCTCCTTTTTGGAGCTCTGTTTGCCACCCTGTGGGACCATTTTAGGAGTCCGGCGGCAGGCCAAACCCTACTCACTTTAATCTTCCCCTTTGTTAGCTGGCTATCTTTTCGGCTCAGTCTGATCCTCGCCTTGCTGGTACACGAATGGGCCCACCTATTGGCGAGACTCCTCCTCCAAAGCAGAAGCTGTCTTCCTGCTGACGTTGGTGAAGCTCCGAAGCGCACAGCTGACGTCAGAAGCGCCGATTGGCGCGCCAACGTGAACCTCCGGGACTGGTGTCAGTGCTTGCTGCCATGGCGGCCCATGCCGCGAGGCATGACACCACACGTTTGTGGTCCCAGCTCAACCAGATCAGGGGGTTCTGCTCAAGGGGGCTGGAGGGACGCCTGCGTGCGCGGGTTTGGGTGGCTTGCAAGCGCTGTGTTCTGTGTTGGAAGCTGGAGCGTGAGAGGGTCGCTGGGGCCAGTGGGCGATTCCTTGCAGGAAGAGCTGTTTCAGGTGGGCTGACGGATTGAATCCAATGTGACATCATGCCATTGCTACTACTGCCACAGCTGTTCTGGGGTTGTTCTTTCTGGATACATTCAACTGAATTAGCTTGAAAAAGTAAAGACAATGCCAATACCAGCTGAATTGGCTCCACAGTGCACCATTTGCTGTAAATATCCTGAGATACTCGGTGTCCATTTGATCCTTGGTGTCTAATGTCCAGGTTTAATGCAATGGCTTCCCCCATCTCTGGATTCTTTGGACCCATTTCGTCTTGGCACCGAGGAGAGCCACTCTCATTCATGTCGCTCTCTTTCAGAGATTGCCAGCATCCATACTTGCTGAAAGACACTCGAGGCCAATCCAGCCAGCATTTATATTTTGCCTGCTTGTGCTGTCCAGGTACCCAACATGTTTGCCCATCAATTGTTTTCACCGCGGGATCTAGAGTTGTCCTCTCCCTTGTCCCCTGTCTTCTTGCCAGGCACATTCGCTTAAGCTTTCGAGAACGAGCACATCAAGCATTTGCTCCGTGATAAGTATGCCCGTGACAAGAGGAGTGCTGAACCGACAGTGAGGTACTCAGTAAAGGTCGACCACTCCTTGCCAGGCCTGTTCCATTGTCCTGCTCTGCTCCACCCTAACGGACCTGTGCGAGATGCTGGGGCTGGCGCCGTCAAAGGCGGGCGTCTACCGCTGCGGCAACTTTGGGCTGCTTGTGGCAGGCGCAGTGGAGGGTGCCCGCTCCCGGGGGCTTGACTGCCTCCGCGTGTTGCAAGATATGGCTGCTATTTCCACGCAGGTGCGTGACAACCCTCTGGACGCGATCCCATCGACAGAATTTGTTTTAGATGACTTTAATTGCCCGAGATACTGCCAATCAATTGTTCATTTATCTTATCTCGCGAGCTCTGTCCGGCGCAGCCGACGAGCTTCTATTCGAAGATCAGGGCACTCAGTTGATCTTAGGTATTCGGAGTCTCCTTGGTATGGGTCAAGCTCCATGAAGATCAGCCGAGGTTTGTTGGCTGCAGCAGCTGTATGTGGAAGATGAGCTAGGTTTGTTTCTGGCTTGCGCTGGGCATAACAAGTAATGCGGTCTAATTCAACTCCGAAATCGCAGGTCCTTGCTTCTGCCTCTCGCGTACAGATTTGCCTGAACTACCCTGCGAACGCTATCTTGTTCGTGCCCTTCACTTTAATCCAGGGTGCGCGACTCTGATGTTTGAAATAGCCACGTACTTCCGAATTGCCTGTTAATGCTGCTTGTGCAAATGATTGGTCCACAGGCAGAGACCTGTTTCCATCGCTTCCCACTCTCGACAATGAACTTAAATTCAGGGAAGCTCGATTCTAACAGCCATTTTACAAGTAGGACTCCTGAACAGGAGGATAAGCTGGTCAAAAGAAACAAGACGCAAGAACAATCAAGGTGTCCAGCATCCCTAGTCAGTCAAACTGCAAACCATTGTGTGGGTTGATCGCATGGGTTGACGTTGGCCGCCCTTTTCATGATCCAGCGTGGCGGCCAGTCTGGGGGACTGGTGACGTTGATCCAGTCGGAGGGGGGCCAAGTAAAGGGGCTGCGCGAGCGGGTGTGCCCAACCAAGCGCCAACACCTGGCCGTGCTGGTGAGACGCCAAGTCGATGCCCACGTCGACATTCCACGTTCTGAAAATTTGAACGTTTTCAATTTCAGGTTTCGGCGTTGCAAGTGCAGAATAGGTCGCAGCTGCCAAAAGGCTGCTACTCCATATGCAACGTTCCCTACTACGCTGTAATTTAGCTTCATGTGATGACGGCCTTTGGACTTCAGGGCTTCGAAGTTGAGTTGTGGAAGATCGGATCCGGGGACTACGTCCTATAGATTCTCCTCTCATTTGATTACCCGCAAATATTTCAGACGAATTACCAAACGAAGACGCAAGTCGGTTTCTCATGGATCAAACCGCAAAATTAGCAGCTGAATAGAGACCGTCAGGTCATTAGTTATTGACACGCGACTTCGGCTGCGTGTTGGATTCTGAGATTGTCCGAAAAGAAGGAAGCTCAAAGCTCTCGGAGCTTTGGCTAGGTCACAATTCTGATTCATGAGCAATTTTAGGGATGCTAAACCAATTAGAAAAAGAAGCAGAAGAAGAAGACTACGAGATTGAAGAGCTAGAGGACGACCCTCCAGAGTGCTCCACCCTGAGCAGACTACTTGTGTGCTGTCTTGTTTCGCATGTTCTATCTTCTGAGCGCTTTTTGTCCTCCTCAGCTGGCGGCACGTTTCCGGCGGAAGCTGGGCTGGGCCAGCCTGTGGCAGTGGCTGCGCCGTCTGCTGCTCTGGTGGCGACCGACCGGGAAGAGCGCCCCGGGCGCTGGCCCCAGTGTGCGCCTCTTCCTGGGCCACACCCGGTTCGCCACGTCGAGCATCCCTAGCGTGCGCGAGAGCCACCCCCACCAGGTAAGCCGGTGAAGGACTTGCAAGAAGGCCGTGCAGTCCCCCCAGGCGTTGAATGATTCCTTAAAAATGCTGATAATCAGGTCTTGCGTTGAGGACCAGGAGTTTGCTTTGTTTGTCCCTTCTACATGACACGTTGTTGTCAAGAAAAGGCTTCGTCTTTTCTGCAAGCCACTCTTGAGACCGTCCACAGCAATCAGCCGGGCTCTTAACACAGAGTACGGCCTGTCGGACTCAACCTAGTAAGTACTGGTGCTGATTCGACCCACCGGTAGGCTCGACCCTCCGCTGCATCCCCCATCCCTCGATGCTAGACTAATGCTGTAAGCATCTTTCTCTTTCCGAAGCAACGCGCTATTTTCAGAAGCGTTCCATCTTATACACTCCTTTGTTTTGACCTGCAGTGGACCCCCACTTTCCGTTGCAACATGTGGCGCCAGGGCCGGGGCATGCAGGCGGAGCAAGTCGGCATTTACATCACGCACAACGGAGACTTTGAGTTCTGGTCGCTCTTCGGACGTGACCGGACGCACACGGAGATGGGTTTCTGGCTGCAGGTAGGTCCAGCTTAATGCAAAATGTTATACGTGGCGGCTGTTGCAATGTGAAGGAGGGGAAAGAGTCCGAAAATCATGCAAGCGCCTCGCTGATTCCGGAGGGAAAGTTTTCGCGTGCACTGAGACTCCGAAAGTGCCAGTGCGATGTCACTGCTTGCACGTGACGCAAATTCTGAAGCAAACGAGTCGAGTGCTATGCCGTCGTATCCGACTACGATGTGTCTACTTCGACACTGATACAGACTTCCTTGAAGCCTGAAGTTGTAAGATCTTCGTGCCGGGAAAACAATAGCCAACGAAGGAGTATTTACTGGCATTTACAACCTTCTCTCCGACTGCAGCGCGTCCTGGACTGCCCCCAGTCGGCGCACTGCGACAGCGTCATGATCGGGGGCCTCGTGGAGCTGCTGCGCACACAGGGCCTCTGGATGCACTCACTGCGCCTCGCCTACCACCAGGTAAACAGGGCCTCCACAAGCTGTTTTTAAATGACCTTGCACAGTGTCTACATTCCCTACGCTTTTGGAAACATCGCTCTGCGTTTGCACAGTCCGTGACGCATCTTTTCGACATGCTTTTGGACTCCCGTTTCGGCTCGGGGATTGCCTAGTAAGGCGAGGATCGCAAGCGATCGACCGTGGTCCTTCCATATTGCCCCGCATTCGCTTTTTACGGCGAAATACCGTCTTTGAGGAAGTCTCCTCCAAAATAATGTGCGAACTCACCGACAATCAATATTGGAGGGGTATTTGAAAGGAGGTCAGACAACACATGGTCAACACACTCTGGTAACTGGACTTCAACGGGACAGTAACTGGGCCAATTTGGGTTCTTCATTGACAGAGTATCTACTCATGTTCGTCTTGCGTGTATGCAGACGGTGACGCACTCCTTCGAAGAGGTGTTCGATTACGGCCTGCCGAGCGACCCCGCGACCGCCAACGCGGCGCCCACGCGCGCCACGCTGGACGTGCTCGCGCGCATCGCGGAGGCCGCCTTCCTGCGCTTCCTCGACCAAGCATCTCCAGGACCAGAGGTGCGCTTGGCCATCTCTTATTTTCTTAGAATGTTCTGGTTTTGTAGGGGATCGTGCCCTTTTCCGGCAGGTACCGCCAGACAGAGGCCATCCGAGCTTTGTGTTTAGCAGGTTCAAAGTTTGGAGCACGTTTCTGCGCTTCCTCGGCAAAACGAGCGGACCCCGGTATGCCACACGAGAACCTGAACCAAGTATTGGTACACAAACTAAACTTCTGTTGGTTTTCTGCTGGATGTTTGAAGCAAGGGGTTCCCCACTTTCAATTACGCCTCATCCTCACTCTCGCCTGTTCGGAATCACGAGAAATTACCAACTTGAGTTTGCTGAGTGTTGAAACGTCGAAAAGGATCGCAACAATGTCAGGAGGCATGCGCGGGCGCAAGTAGATTTCCATTGGTCCAAAAGAGGTCCACTTTCCCCTGCGGTTCGTTTGATGAACCGGGTTCCAGGCACATGTAGGCAAAGCGCAGGGTTCGTTTCCTCTCTCCTCGCTCGTGGGCGGTTTCTCAAAACTACACCCGCTGTTACATTGACGCACCGACTGTATTGGAGACGGGTGGTTTGCTCACCGAGTGTTATTTGCAAAAGCGTGCTGACGTCACTTTGTGTGTGGGCTGTATGCGCAGAGTCACCAGAGCGGACGTGTGCACGGGGAACAGGAGAGACGCGCCGGCGCCGGTCCGCACAGCATTGAGTGGACCGAAGAAAGCATGGAGAACTTATCCCAGGTATGCCAGCGCGAAGTCTGCCGTCCACATGGAGCAGTTTCAGGATATCGACTCAACTCTAGATTGAGAGCTCCATCCAAGTGCTGAGAGGAGCGGGGCTAGACAAAGCGTCTGGATCGCACGGTTGTTGAGCGATTCGCGAGGTTTGTTATGGGTTTGCTTAGCGGGGCGGCCCCGTTGCTGGAACGTACTTACAACCGACGCTTAAGAACCCCGCCCAAAGTACAGATCTATGAAATACGGGAGGAACACTGTCACGTTTCCGGTGCAGGCACTCAAGGCGGCAGTGCTGAGCGACGCCTCACTGCGGCTTGAGTCTTAACCAAGCTCAACTAATCAACAGAACGTACAAAGTCCACAGACTGACGACTAAACCAAGCATACAGAAAAGTTAAGAACGATAAGGAAGCCTTGCCATGTGTCTGGTGCAGGCCCTGAAGGCGGCGCTGTTGAGCGAGGCGCCGGCGCTGCTGCAGAAGAACGCCCCCGAAGGGTTCCGCACCCTGATCGAGGACCTGCAGGTCGGGCGTGGGGAGGCGTTCTTGGAGCTGCTTGCGCGGCAGGCCGTTGTCAACTTCCTGCACAACGACCTGCACTGGGCCGTCAAGAAGTTCCTCGCCAATGCAAAAGTGAGCGACTTAGCTTGGTCGCCGACGAGAAAATATGAAGTTTCTGGCGGAGTCTCGGCAGTGGACCTTCGTCAAGTCCTTCGGAACAACCTGCATTGGCCTGTCAAGAAGTTTTCTCACCAACGCTGAAGTGAGCTATGTCAGGTCGTGTCCAAAGCGATTACTTAGAACTCTGAAATGCCGATACCTACTAAGACCCGGCACTCGTTTGCAAGAGGCCGTCGTCAACTTCCACATAAGGATCTGCCGTGAAAATTTTCTCTGCAAGCCAAGGCGGGCTTGTCCTCCTCTTCCTTCCTAGAGTCTTTCATTTATAGAAGCAACCCCCGTTGGACTTCAACTCGTCGTCCTTGCTGCGCTGAAGCAGCCATTTTTTTTGAGCTGAAGCTATTGTGACGTCACTTTCGTGGGCTGAGCGGAAGGTACCTTCCTGCGCAGGGCTCGTTCGGACTGGCGGTGTGCTGCACGCTGGACCCCAACCGCATCGTCCTGGCTCCGTTGGATCTACCGCTGTCCGTGGGCTGACGCTAAGCTGCACGTCATTTGCCCTAAGCTGCCGCTAAATCTGACGTCACCATTCTTGCGCAGGGCTCGTTCGGGCTAGCTGTGTGCTGCACCCTGGACCCCGACCGTGTCGTCTTGGCTGCCCTGAACCAGCCGCTGTCCGTGGGGCTGGCACCCGAGCAGCGCGCGGTGCTCTACTCATCAGAGGCGCAGTCTCTCAAGGTCAGAAATTTTGTGGTCAGAAGCGATCTTCGGGTTTCACGAGCAGAGCTCGGCTCTAGAGTCAGGGGTTTTATCGTCAAAGCTATCAGACTTGACAACACTTCCCTTCTTGCCGCTTCAAGGCCTTGTCTTTGATTGCCTTTGGCGGGCAAGGTGCCCGCGCCAAGCCGTGGTCTCCTTGCCGGAAGCGTCGACTGCGAACGTTCACACAGTTTCTAAGGATCAAGTTGCTACTTTGGTTGAGAGGATAAGAGAGTTGACTTGCTTTTTGGAGGCATTGTGCGCGTGGGCTTGGAGGCAGCTTCAGAGGACCTTTAAGAACCCGCTAGTAACTCAGAGGATCTTTAAACAAATACTATAACTAACGACTTCAGAGATGAGCTTGTATGTCACGCCCATCTTTTGTCGCCAGGGGCAAACAGACGTTGGAGGTTGTCGACCCAATCAGCCGTTCTTCCGTAGCCTTCTGAAGCGTCGTCGTTTCTTGTCATCGAGCATTTGGCCTTCTGAAGCGTTGTCGGTCCGTCTCCAAACAGACGTCCCTCTCGAAGCCGGGCGCGAATGGACCAGTGGAAACAGTGGCGTGGCGCGTAGATCTGAACGAGGCAGACGGCGAGGTTCTGGAGATCAGGCTGACGTCAGGGGGCGGAACGCCGGGTCAGCCACCGAGCCAGTAAGTAAACCAGAAGATCAGCACTATCTTGCTTTGCGACGGCAGAGTGGTGCATGCGTCATGAATTTGAGCTTTACGCACCCCCCGAAGGAGCACCTCCCCTTGGCGTAATTTAATGGCTTCTTCGGCGTTCGCAAGTCGAGGGGAAGAGCCTGGTTGTGCCAGGGCTCCACTTCCTATCTTTTTGAACGGGGGCGGAAATTGGACCTCAACCCTACTTTCTCCGCTCCTAACCTCCGATGTTTTCTAACGACAAAAACTGGGTTTACTTTTCCTCGTCTGCAGACACTCCACAGACGGGGAAGCTCGCAATGGAAACCCAACGAGCGGGAGTCAGAAGGGACTGGTGGCCGATCTGGAGGCCGGGAACGGGGGCGACCCGCTGATCCAGCCGCTTCCGGATGCCGATTTTCTGACGCTGCGGCTCTACAGCCGGAGGCAGGACAAAGCGATTTCTCAGGTGCGGGTCGTGCCTCACTATCTTCGCTGATGGCTCAGATAACGTCTGCGCCTTAACCGCTCGTTGCTGGTTAGAAATTGCTTGGCATAGTCTCGACACAATTATCCAGCTTGAATGCAAGCGATTCTAGGTCAGACTTTGAAGTCCTGACCATGATCTCGGCAAACGCTGGAGATTCAGTTGAGGGCGCGGGGTTGCGGACGTCGCTCTTGGCCGCGCGTATCTCATGCTCCCTCGCTGCCTCCTTGCATCCAAGAATCATCGGGAACTATTTCTGTCTCTCCTTCAACCACGCCCTATTCATCAACAGAACCGCTGGGAGTTTCCTAAGCAGCAGGCAGGATCTTGCTTTCTTGAGAACACCTTACAAGCCGTAACGCCTCCGACCTTGGTGAACAACCCGCGGCAGTCCACTTTTTGCATCGTTCTAGTTCTGTTTTCACTATGCGTTTGCCTGTAACAACGCGCCGGATACCCATTCTTTTTGCAGTCCGAGTTCGAGGCCTCTCAGCGACTCGTACAAATGGCAGGCAACCCGTACATTACGTTCGACGACCCTGTGATAGAGCATGACCTGGTTGGAAACGACATCCAGGTACGTCTTTGTGAGCGAAAGGAACTTCGGTGTTCATCTATCTTATTCTTCTTTGTCAAAAGATCCTACAAAAAATTCCTAAGAGATCCTAAAATTTCCAAGGATGGTAATCCTTTCGAGGCAGTATACAGGGGGTATTGTCAAGGATCTTGTCGCCACGTTACTCTAATCTCAATGCCCCAGATCGTGCAAATAGCTCACGGGAAGAGAACTATCGCTGACTGGGGAGTTTTCGATCGGAGCTGGAAGCTTTGAAGTCCTGATCGAGCAGGGTGGCTGACTTCCCTCCTATTTTCCAGGACATCCCTCGTGTTCTGGCGACCATCCGCCGCGAGTGGACCACTGTGGGCAGTCTGAATCAGCAGACAGCGGGCGCCCTCTTGGCGCTTCTCCAAGAAAAAGCGGCCATGATTGGGGACGCGCCAGGGGATGGGAGCACGCGCAAGGAGATCGACGTGTTGGTTACAGGCGTGGAGAGCAGCCTTTGGGTCGGGGAGCAGTTTGCGGCGGACCTGCAAAACTGTGAGGCCGCATTGAGCTTATTTTCTTTGATCAATAGGTGCATCCTCCACACTCACGAAGAAGAGTCTGCTTTTGCGAGCCACGCTGCTTCTGCGGAAGGTTGCCATTTGCGCATTGCCGAGCGACAAATTGTCTGCGGCTGGCTTTGCATGCAGTCTTGTTTCTCAAAACCAATCCCCCGAAGACTCCTGCAACAATTGCACGAAATGCAAATTAAGCGGCAACCAAGTTGGCGTGCTCGATACAACCTGTGACTGGGTATCATCTCTAAGTAGCTTTTCCGTTAGTATAAACCGTGCTGAAGCTTGATAAACAGTCACCCCTCGTCAAACAGCGCTCGGGCCAGTTAGGATGCTGCTGACCTCCTACTTCGACGGAAATTTTGCAGAAAGCCGCTGTTGACTGCACCTTGTGTTGGGACCCTAAAAGTCGCTTCTAGACCTAGTCAAGCCTCTGACCATAAGCCATGTCTCTGCAGTCCTGCCCCAGTTGCGCGTCGTGCCCATCTCGAGCAACAAGGTGATCGGCGTACTGGGCAACGCCCGGGGCAAGATTTCGACGGCCGGCTTTTCCTTCTGCCGCCTCACGAGCAGCCTGCGCAGCACCATTGTGATCGCCATCAGCCAGTCGGGGCAGACGTTCCCGACCCTGCACGCCACGCGCATTCTGCAGAGGGAGTGCCCGGGGTGAGCGGCCGGGGGAAGGGTCCAGTGCATTTTGAGTGTCGGCTTGCAAAAGCCGGGAAGTCCTCAGAACTCGACCTTAGCCGAGCAACACTGCAATGTATTCCCATGAAACGGAAAGTTGTTGCTGGAGTACGCTTGCAAAGAGGTACTATATCCTCGCAGATTTAGAAGCAATTTTCTGGGGTGCTAAGGTTGGCAGTTTTTGATTCGATTCCTCTCCTGGGTCGGCCTCAACTTGCGACAAATTTGCGGCAGATTTGAACCACTTTGCGCTTCACAACTTGGTCCAGGGCCAGAGCCCAGTTTTCAATTCTTCAAGTCAACAGTACATGATTCCTCACGGTTGCGCCTTCACCGGCCTGCCTTCGAGAGTCTGCCTGCAACGGGTCTTTGACGACTTGTCTGAACGGGTCTTTGACGACAACTGAGCACGCCACGTGTCGTGTTGTAGGCGCGTGTTCGTGGTGAGCGGTCTGCTGGACGGCAAAATGTCGCAGGCGGTGGGTCAGCGACTGGAAGCCGGTGCGGCATTCTGCCAGCGCGTGTTCTGGACCGGGGCCGGCTGGCGCGCCGCGGAACCTGCAAGGTGAGGGCGGGGTATTTTGACTAGGTTCATAAAATCAAACTTGTGCCTAAGGAGTTATAGTGGTTGAGGTTGTCACGTGTCGTCGTCGATGGATTGCCAGCGCGTGGTCTGGACCAGGGCCGGCTGGCGCACTGCGCGGAACCCGCAAGGTAAGGGGAGGCGGATTAATCAGGTTTGGATAACCAAACTTGTGGCTAGTCATTTGTCACAGTGGATGGATCATCACGGCTTTGTTTTGACTGTTTGCCACGCGGTGTCTCTACGAGAGCTGGATGTCGCGATGCAGATCGAGCTTGCGAGGTAATGGGATGCGATTTAGCGAGTTTGAGGAGCTAGATGTTTGGGAAACCGCTTATCAAAGAAGTTTTGGAATGTCGTCGCGTGGTTTTCAAAGACGGAGCTGGCTGGCGCGCTGCCGAAGCTGCAAAGTACGGGGCGGTTCTATTGAGTGCACCGTGACATGCTGAGTAAATGGGGCTTGGCTCGAGTCCAGAAAAGGTTTTGATTAGGCTGCAGTCTGACGTAGCTGTCAACAAACCGCCTCTTTTGAAGCGCATTGGGCTTCTCGGTGTTTGCAAGCCCGCAAAGCCTGCGTTTTCTTCTGATTATGATTTTGCTTGTTTGCAGTGTGTCCTGTGTTGCCGCCCACGGTTAATACTCTGACGGAGCTGCTGCTTTGTTTCGGACGTCCAGCTGAGGGCTGCCGCCAAGCAGAACCGGGACTTTTTTATTAAGTAAACGACGACCTTTATACCCTTCAAGACTTGCCTTTTGTCTCTTAAACTGTCCATAAGATTGACACTGGAATCGCTCTTTTGCAGTGTATCCTCTGTCGCCGCCCACGCTACTCTGACGGAGCTTCTGCTCTTCTTGGGCGACCAATTGAGGGCTACCGCCAAGCAGCACCGGGGTCCCGGGCCTCTTGGCCTCCGCCTCACGCGCAATGACATCAGTGAGCGCCGCTTCTTGTTTTGGCTTTAGCAAATCTTGTGGTGGTCAGTGAGATCAGAAGAAGTGGTCGGGCGGTCAGAAAAGATGGTCATCGCGTGTCAGGGGTTCTTGTGTTAGCAATTCATGGTGTCAGGCTTTCTCCAAACAGATTTATCCTTCTGGATCTTCAATTCATCATCCAGAAAGGGGATGCACTTTTCCTGAATGCTGGTCACGCTTGAAAAGAGCAAATGGTGCCCCCTGTTCGGCGAGCAACACCTTCCCTCTTTTTGTTTCAATTGTTGACTGTTTCTTCACATTGTCCCCCCAGTTCTCGTAATTGCACTCAGTATCTGACTCATGAGGATTCTCCTTTCGCTGACGGCAGAATGGGCAGAAAGACTTTTCTGACAGCAATAATTGCTGCTTGCAGAGGACATGGGCCGGGTGCGAGACGCCTTGGTTGACAGCACAGCCGGAACGTAAGTCCACTTTATCTCAGACAAACTCCAACTTAGGTAATCAGACAGTTGATCGAAGCTTTTGCCCTGCCATACGACTTCGCCAGATAAGCTATCGCGCGTGCTTCAAAAGACAAGGAAGAACAGGGTCCATTTTCTGATAGGACGCGCCAGAACTTCTGTTTGGAAGCATGCCGCAGGCGTTTCGACCTAGAGCAGAAAGACACATGATCAATGCGAGCTTCAAGCCCTCGTCTGCCCGAAGAGCTGTAGACCTTCTGTACGAGCTGGGAGTTCTGAATATCATCGGCCGACACAAGAAAAAGCAGTCTCTTGCGTTGCTTACAGAAACGTTGGAAGTCCTCTTGAAGAAGTATCTCCCCCTTACATGTCTCCATTTCTCCTCCAGGCTGACTGGATCAACCGCAAAGGGCGACCACATCCCCTCTGCGCTGCACTCTGCGCTGGTCGCCCAAGGCCGCTGCTGGGGGCACCATATCATAGAGACCCCCGTCGCATGGATGCTGTCATCCATCTACATCTTCGCAACCGTCATCTCGGGGTGGCCGCTCTTTACTGCAATACGGCGCGGGATCGGTGCAGGTGGGTGTTTTCTTGACGCCAGCTTCAGAGTGTTGCTGTGCTGACGTCAGATTCAGGGGTTACCACTGTTTGGGCGACAATGTGTGGTCTAGGGCGGGGTTATCGCGCACTGGATCGGTGGAAAGAAAGATTGTATGGATATCAACTCACTGGCGAGGGGGCCTGCCAACAAATGCTTCTCATTAAGTGTGGAAGCGCAAGTGAAGAGGCGGGTGACCAGAGGCACAGAAAAGACGATGAGAGGGAGATAAAGTAGGCGAAGAAGGAAAAGGGACCAAATGCTGGCCTGCGACTTCGCCCCTTTCCACGTTGATTTTACCTGCCCCATCTTTCTCTATCTTCCGTCTGCCTCCTTTATCCAAGCCGTACCCTTTTACATTTGTTCATTGTCCTCTTGATTCTCCTGATTTGCAAGGCACATCATTCTCAGCGCCTATCCTGACGTCACTCTCCCTTTACAGGCGGGCCCGGCGGCGAGTTCCTGGTGTACTTTGCGCACGCCCTGGACGCGCTTTCTTACTGCTTCCTGCCTCTCGTGTTTTCGTACCTCCTCCGTGTGATCCAAGGACGACAACTCTTGGCCCGCCTCGGGAAGAGGTGAGCTCTTTTTTCCCCACTTTGATTTGGGCCCCAACCGCTAGTCTAGGCTTGCTGACGTTTTGATAGGTAGCGTCGATTCGGATGCTTCACGGCGCCGTTTTTTGACGCACGGGTTCTTGATCGCGGAGCAGGATTTTCTTCTTCACGTTTCCTCCCTAGAATATGCGCCATTCACGTTCCTTCTGTAGTATAAGCGCCATTCAGGTTCCTTCTGTAGAATAAGCGCCAGCGAAGGAGACCTCTCATAGCATATATCACCGTTGAAGGTAGCTGAATCTGCGGACAGCACATGCAAATCCTTTCTTCAACTGTTCTATGGCGGTCGTGCTTGCTTTAGCTGCTATAACCCTGTGGCACTGTTGTTGCAGGACGCTGGTGATCGGAGACGTTCCTTACGTGCACCAGCTGCTGGAGGTGTATGTCTCCAAGCTGGTGAGTGAAGCGGAACGCGTTCGTGAGATTAAATCATTTTTCGGGGGACATTGTACAAATAATTCAGAAGCTTTCAAGATACAAGGGAGAAAGACCACAACAAAATCATTACGATGAGGAAGGAAATAAAAAGAAGAAACACGCACAGCTAAGACGGAGAAGGCAGCTTGAACAAGGATCAGTCCAAGATCTAAAAGAAATCTATCGAGCAGCTAGCATTTGACATAAACAGAACTCGCGATTTTTCAGAATCTACAGTAGAAGATTCGGGAGTAACGACGCTGGTGCTCTTCGGCTGACGTGACATCCGTTCTCCGCAGTTCGCCCTGAGCTACAGCATCGCCAGTATTGACGTACACGGCAGCAACCCACTGGACCACCTCGTACACAGGTCAGCGAGCCTTTCCGAATAGCTGAGACATGCGAGGTTTTGGAACCATTTGTCAAGGTTTGTCAAGCTTAGATCGACCTGCAAGCACTGGCCGGCCTTTGTCCGTGCAGCAACCCTGCCAAACAAGGCTCCTCAGGCCTGCGAAGTCTTGAAGGAACTAATCGTTTCTGACTAAGGCAGTCTGTTTTCTTGTTGTACGATATAGAAAGAAAGACACTGGGACTTGACCAAAGCCTGCCCTAATCTGATCGTACCACCTGAAAACGATGCGTAGCAAGAAGAAGCTGCCCCCCCCCTAACGTGTCGGTCCTCGAACGCCTCGGTTGACCAAGTCCGGGCTGAACTTTCGACATTTCCTTGTTGATGTCTCTCAATCTTCGTCAAGCAACTTCCTGATTCTGCAATGCTTCATTCGTTTGCAGGTTTACCCACCGCATTCCTTGTTGATGTCTGTCGATCTTCGTCAAGCAACATCCTCACCCCATATTAACCTTGTCTGTTTGCAGGTTCACCCATCGCGTGGTGCGCGGCGTGTTGCTCGCCATCGGGCGGCCGGACGGGCGGCTGTGCACGCAGACCAAGAGCGAGTCGTGGGTGCTCATGGCGCTGCTGCAGTGCAAGTCCATCATCAACGGCGGGTGAGCCGCCACGTGTCACGTTGCGTCAGTCTGTGACGCGCCTCTGCAGATGCTGTCCTAGTTGCGCTTTCGGTGCCAGGCGTTACACGTTGCGTGACGATAATCCGTGACCCTGGTCAGTTTAGGCAAATATGTATGCCGTCACGTTCTGCAAACGCCACGGGTGTGGCCGGCGCCCTCCTAAGGAACTGAAAGAACTTTTGACACCACACTTAAAATAGGTGACTGAGCGCTGTCGCCGAAGTCAGCAGCTGGTGTCAATGTGTAGGAGGAGTGTAGGCACGTATCTTGGGCGATTGGCGCTCGTTCGTAGGCCTGGCTCCTTCCATATTGGCTACTTGTAGAAGAATCCAAGCACGACCGTTCGAGAAGACAGTTGGACGAACATAGCCTCCTCTTAATCGTAGTGCTGCCGCAGAAACGTTCAAAGCGGCCAGAATGCAAACCTCAAAGCTTCAATCCCGAGCAAGCGTCCACAAGTCCATTCGATCTTAAGACCCTACAGCTTCAGAAACCCACATATCTTTGGATCCGTGCGTTCCTCCTTGCAGTGCCGATGCTGAAACTGATACCGTGGGCCACAACCAGATGGTCCTGGTTTCCCTGACTCAATTTCTCGAGAAACCGCCCAAAGATTCTGCAATCTCAAGACCCTAAAACCTTCCAATGACGCATCTAGACTTTGGCATTCCTCTTTGCAGCGCCGGCGCAGAGACTTTCACGGTCGGCCATAACCCATACCGCAACCCCATGGTCATGGACGCCTCCGTAATCCTTCCGAGCAAGCGCCCCCAGTTCCTGTGCGAGAAGATGATCGGCGTGGATGCTCACGAGCCGCTCGCGCGGCTGGCCAGCATGGGCCACGTGGTTCGCGGGGAGGGCGCACACGAAGCCGGGTCCAAGTTCCACGACCTGGACGGGCGCACTGTCGGGGAGCATCTGATGCAGGAGGGATCAGTGCAGCGCGCCCGTCGGCTTACGGTGAGGAAACCTGGTCACTTTTTGATTCAGAGTTTGGGGTGTAAACGAGTCAAGGTGGTTTTTGGTGGGCTCATGGGTCACGTGGTCCGCGGGGAGGGCGCACACGAGGCGGGGCCAAATTCCACGATTTACACGGGCAGACCGTTGGGGAGCATCATTTGATGCAGGAGGGATCGGTACAGCGTGCGCGTCGGCTCACAGTAAGTGCTGAGGGCCATCTTTGGTAGCTCCAAAGTTCTGGCGATTTGGACTTGTAAGTAAGCGTGCGCGCGCGGCGACTCACAGTGATCCAGTTCTGTGCTTTGACGTTTCAATAGTACGAGTTTGCGAGACTTTCCGCTCGCGGGGAGGGCGCACGAGGCGGAATTAAAATCCCCATGATTTGGACTGGCGCGCCGTTGGCAAGCATATGATGCAAGAGGGGTCGTTGGCTCACGGTATGTGTCGTGTTGCCAACAGTTTCTCTCGTTTCACGTTGTGATGTAGAGTTCCAAAGTGTTTGGCTCGCCAAGACGGTTGACGTTGACTTTCAAAAACACGCGAGATGCCTGCTCCGAGTCCCATGATCTGACTGGGCGCAATTTCGATGCGCGGCTGCTGAATGGAAAGTGCGGCGCGCGGAAGTGTGAAGCCTCGGAGCAACCGCCTTTACCCGTTGCGGGCGAGATTTTCGGACATACGTTCTCGTGTCCAGTACAACGAGCGGCAACTCTTCAAAGCCGTTCCTGTTGCAAGTTGTTCACGAGATCAACACGGTCATTCTGTCGCCATCAAACTTCTGACTATATTTGGGAGATGGTACGTGATTTTGAGAATACAATTATGGAACCCAAGTCATCTGAAACGACTCTGAGAGTGTACATGTGCCGTCGCTGTGTGAGCCAGCTGTCGAAGTTCAAGTCAGCGACCCGGGGGCGTGACCAGGTTGTTTTTGCTGATAGGGCGGTCACATATGAATATTTTCGGGGTGCACCGTCCCTCAAGGACCGAAATTTCGTCCCTCGGGGACCGAAAACCGGTGATTTCGTCCCCCAGAATTTCAACTCGATATTCTGGGGGACGGTACGCCCCTCACGGACGCCGGTAAAAATACTTATGGAGGGTTGGCGGTCACTACTCGGACAGTCTGGCTCGCCGTATAATCCGGGAAGCTTCAGATTTTCGCGCGATGTGTCCCTGAGGGAAATATGACCAAAGCAGATTCTCAGGGAGCAGACGCTCCCTCAGGGAACACTCCCCACTTCCCCAAGAACTCATATGTGACCCCCCTATGAGATGGTATTCAAGACTGAGATGGTATTCAAGACTGCCGTAACGAGCGTGTTTGTTTCCAGTTACGCTGACCATCTCTATCTCGCTTTTGCCTGCCAGCTGTCTATGCTCGCGCACGGTTCTCACCAGATCGACTCGGTGGAAGCGGGCGACCCGGGGAACCGCGAGCAGATCCTGTCCGCGATGGAACTAGACGTGCGGCGATTGTTGGACAGCCAGTCGCCTATGGAAGAATTCACCGAGAACCGCTTCCTCTCCCTCGAGCGCTACATCGCATTCCTGGTGAGTAAATAGATTGTTGTTCGAATCTGCTTTGATACTGCTCCACTTGCTTTTCGGTTCACGACTCACGAGGTTTGGACGTACCCACAGTCGATGCTGCTGACATTCCCCCGAGAAATTCGTTTGGAGTCGTAACCACGACTCCTGAGACCACGACCAAGCCGCGGATTCGGATCTGCTTACCTTCATTATACAGGTACTTGCCTTTTTTGCACCCTTTCTTATCCTTCAGGGCGACTTTTATCCATTCCCCGCCCCCAGAAGCTGAAATACGAAACTTTACAAGCGTTGGATACATTGCCGTACACCCCCGACCTTTCGAACTACCTACATCTCTCAGGTGACGTTTCACGCGATGGCGCGCACCGTGGCCTCCCTGTGGTCCCTCCGCTTGACGTGTTCCGGGTGCCCTCGTTGTATCTCTTAACCATGTGATATTTACCATCTGACACGCAATTCACCTCTAGACCTTAAGAACAAGGGACTGTTTCACTCCCCAGGTAGCCTTCCACGCAATGGCGCGAACCGTGCTTCCCTGTGACCTCTCCGCTTCGACCTGTCCCGAATGCCCTTGTAGTCTTCCTTGTGCGTCCTGAAATAAAGCTTGAATGGATCTCTCTCTCCCTCAAACTGCGCCCATCATACCCGACTCTAACAAACACCCTGTTCTCAGTAGCAGTAAGCATCGAACTTGTTTCTTTTCCTAGGTGACCTTCCACGCGATGGCGCGAACCGTGGCCTCCCTGTGGCCCCTCCGCTTCGACGTGTCCCGCAGCCAGAGCTGCCTTCGCATCGCCACGACCGCCGCGCCGGTTTCCGCCGCCGATCTGGAGCGCGAGTGGCTCGAGAGCGCAACGGACCCGGACGAGGGCACCATCCACGTGCGCACGTTGCGCAGGCGGCCCAGGTCAGTCATCCCTCGAGCGTATGCATTCCTTTGGTCACTAAATCAGTTATGAGGAAGAAGCAACAGGCCCATGTTCGACTGCGTGTGTATACTCCAACCAACCTCGGCAGACTATACTGGGACGTACCCCTGAGATGGTTGAAGAAGATTGGTCAAGCCAAGGCCGCCACTTTCGGATTCGCACCGCCTAAAAGGCACTTTTTGTGGGAGTAGAAAGCCGGCTCCTTCCTCCCTTCTCTTTGTTGATGTCCCTTGTCCTACGTATTGTCTTCTACCTTGTCATCTCTTCCTCGTGCAGCACTGACGTCCACGTGTCCCCTGTGCAGCTTTTCGGGTGCCGACCAATACCCGGACCGCCACACGATGCCCTCGGTCCGGGGAGCCGCCCCGCTCTTCGCTTCCGTCCTTTCCGGCTTCCGCCGCTCCCCTTCCGCCTCCAAGTCCCCGCTCCTCGAGGGCGGATCCCAACGCGGGTCCTCCCAGCGCAAAACCAGCTTCGACCTCAAGGATTTGTCTGCACGGGGGGGGAAGCACGCGGGCGCGGTTCTACCCCCCCTCCACATTCAAGATGTCTCCGTTAAGGGGGGCACGGCCCGGCTGAACGTTAGCCCCGGAAGTTCGTTGAGGGGGGGCATGTTGGGGTTACCGAGCCCGGCGGTACACGCAGGGGGATCCCTCCGGGGGGGGAACGCAGTTGCGGGGCTGGCCCTCTGGCAGGGGGGGTCCCGGAGGGGAAGCACCGGGGGCCTGAGTGTGTTGGACGTGTTGCGAGAAGGGGCCTCGGAAACGGCCCTCGGAAAGGAGGAGCGGAGCCCGAGAAGCGACCGGGATAAGGAGTTGGCGGGAGCGGAGGGGCAGAGGGTGAGAAACGGACGAAGCGACGCGTTGCGTGCCAATTATGAAGACGGGGGTGCGACGAGTGACGACGCGCGCGATGATGGGGAGAGGGGGCCCGGACGGAGACGGAAGGGCAAGCCCGTGTTGGATTCTTGAGTGAATCGGCATGTCACGAAGCGGCTGCCATTTAATTGGTTGCGAAACGGAGAAATGCAATTATTGGGTTCCCATATTCTAAAAGGCTGATAATGAATACTCTAGTAACTAACGAAGGCAGATAATCATATTGAATGGATCGGGCCATTCTTCAAAGTACCATCACCTATCCAACAGAATGCTAGACGGACAAGTAAGAGGTTTAAGGTGGAAGAAGCTACATTCGACATCGGATCGAGACTTCAAGAGTTTCTCAGATATATGCAACTGAATCGACGCCTTCTTCGCGTAGGTTGACATTATAACCTTAGTATACTCAAGTTGCGGATAAGTTCAATTCAAAGGAATTGAACCAGGAAAACAAAAAGCAGCTCAAAGGACAATCTATTTCAATTGTAAAATCTGCATTGTGACTCCTGATTCCGACTCGTTTGATGCAGAACTGAACTTGATGTTCTTCCAACTAGCTCTTCAGGCTTCGATCCTAGCTTCGTAAATGCCAATTGCCATGTCGTCCGACTTCTGCATGTAGTTGATTGTAAGCATGATGACGGTACTACTTGCCACATGGGCGGCCGACGAAATTGCATAAGTGATAAGATATGTTAAAAATATATCTTAATATATCTTATCTTAAAATTATAAGCCATGGCCCATCATGTATTTGGGAACGTACTGCAATCGGATAATTAACTTGAATTCAGATTCGTCATTTGAACGTCTTTTCCATGTTACGAGCATAAGCTCATGGGCTAGCTAGGCCATACATCTAATCAGTGGTTGAAGCAAGCACGATCGGACTTGATGTTGCTTACGGCGTAGAAGCCTCTAGCTCATGAGTACGCCAGGACTTGTCAGTTGGAAAGTTGTCCATTGGTCAAATTTGCCAGTTGCAACCCGGCCCATGCAGTCGCACAATCTTTGCGCGGTCTGCAGATCGATATGTTTACCTACTTCCACGCAGATCGGACGCCACGCAGAGGGCTGAAAATACTGTGGGACTGAAGTTCTCCTCAGTTTATCAGTGCTTCGACTACCGTACCAACACGCCGGTTGGGGATCAAGTAACTAGGTCGGCATTTTCAATTCTGCCCAAAACTTTCAATACGGTACTCTGAATAGTCTTCCATACATTCTGCTCGAATTTTCAAATGAATGGAAATTCTACTATTATGTTATATCTTTGATCTTCTTCAGCTGGTGGAAAAAAGTTTTTTTAGCATATATTCCAGAAAGTTTCAAAATCCTCAGAAATTCCAGAAGGAGTTGCCCAGTTTTCAAACCGTACGTCACTAATCATTGGGCTTTTTTCCAAAGAGCCCTTACCAAACCGTCAATCACTTTGATCGGACGGTGATTGTGGGTTTAAATCGTTGCATGATCTTCTAAAGATCCCAGGCATATGTAAATTGACACTTGGCAGCTCCATGATTGGTGGCCTTATTCTCGCCTTTGGTGGGGTGGTGCTTAGTGCTGCTGCTGCTGCTCCTCGGCCTGCTCTGGCTTTGCTGTGTCTAAATTGTAGAACCCTTGCTTTTCTGATACGCCTTTCATCAGCAACTTCGGGTTTGGCAGCCGTCTGCAGGAGCTTGGCTGTTTGCAGCTCAGGCACAACGTTGAGGAGCTTGTAGCTGTCGTTGGAATTGCCAGACCTTCTTTGATCCTGATGTTAGTGGTGGTTAGCAAGGGCGCGCTCAACGTAAGATCAGATGAGGATGTTGCGCGGTTACCTGGAACTGAGAGGAACCATTTTGTTCCGCTTGCCTTTGTTGCTCCTGCTGGTTTCTGTTGGTCGTACAAGGGCGAGCTCCGGTGACAGAAGTGAAGACTTCAGGTAAGATTTGTTTCCGTAGATCTGTTCATTGACTGGAAAAAAGTTTGAAACTTCATCATTGATGCAGCATTTTGTGACCTGTTTCAAAACAGAGATTGAACTTTTATGAAGTCCTCTGCTTCGATGTGTACCTTTTGGCAAACTCTGCTTGTGAAAAGGCAACCAATGTAAGAGAATGGGGCCAACGACTTTCTGCCAGACTGCCAAGCTTTTGATTTTTAGGGTTTCGGTCCAAGGAGCCGTGTTATAGCGATTGTCCTTTTGCTACTCGATGTGGGCACACCTTTTGTTCAGTAGGCTGACATACTATTGCTTGTCATCTAAGAGCACACCACTCAGGTTGAATTCAGAGAGCTCACATCAATCACCCTCCCATCGGCTGGCGCTTTGAATTGGTTGGCGCTTTAATTTGACTGAGGTATTTACTCACTCTCTCGAGAATCGCTTGGTTTTGGTTGTCTACGCACCTCTATTGAAGGACATTCTGTTCGTTTCGGAATTGACCAAGGATGGTTTGCCGCTCCATAGTGAAAGTCGCTTGAGGGCAACCAAACTTTTCCACAGCAAGTGTTTCAAACTTGCGATCAATGAAGTGTCATCTCTCGGTCTTGCAGCGGGTGCCTCGCCAACTGCCGAGCGAGTGGGTGCGCATTTCTCTCGGCTCAAGCGACCAAAGGCGCCAAAGGTTCCACTTGCATCCCAGATTGCATACCGCCTGCGAGCGGTGAGGCCGGTGAGGGGGGAGCCGAGAGCAAACTGCTTACCACCGCTTGGGAGCTGCGGGTGAGAGAAGGTCGCTGTAGAGTTCCCTGTATTGTATCGGTAGTTCAAAGAGTCTAGATTGCTCAACAAAGGTCTTCAACGTCAAATGGAACTCCAGGTTGGCTTCTGAAGTTGTACGCTGCGTGTGCACGCATCTTCTCTGTCGTCAAGGAAAATGTGCAACTGTTTGCCAAGATCGTTACAGGCGAAAGGATTTTGTATAGCCAACTTAAACCTCGTTCAATCGCTTCCGTTCGTGATGCACAATTGTTCAGCGCTCGTTTTGAGGATGGACTTTCTAGATAGGGTGGAAGATGATGCTGTGAATAGATGGAATACACAGTCGTTTTTTGATTAAGGATCGACGCATTCCCTCTTAAAGACTTATTCCCTGACATCTCCAATTTGACTTGAGCTCCTGACTCCTGCAAAGCTGCGTATGCGCACTTCGATATTCTACAAAGCCACCATGTTACGGCCAGCGATGGATCCAAGTCCGATTCCTCAAAATCATTTGTTTTGATCCTTGTCAGGCGCTGCGATGGACGTGCAACAGCGAATGCAAGTACCAGTGCATGGTCCAGCGGGAGGCCGCCAAGACCGGGGCTGCGCCTGAGAAGTACTATGGAAAGTGGCCGTTCAAGCGAGTGCTCGGTGCACAGGTGGGGGCACAATGCAAGTCATGCGTTTTCTCTCCGACCAAACGGGTGCTGTTCTAGTCATCGTTGTCCTTGACTTTGCAGTAGCTTGATGCGTTGTGTGTCCTCCTCGTATGCCGGTGAAGTTTCTTATCAACTGGTTTTTGGAGAAGGAACGGTGCGTGTGCTGCAAGCCAAGGACCATTGGTGCCAGTAACTGGATTAGTTCTACTTTCTTTGCAATGATGTCGAGCACCGAACATCAATCGGTGAGGAATCGGTTGCTGGTTCCCTAGAACCGGACCGAAGGCGGTCGTGGGCTGCAAATCTGCGGGATGCTTGCCTCGTTGTACGCTGCAGGAAGAACCCACTCCCTTTTGCTGAATGGAACGGTTTCGCTTCGATCTTTGCGTTCTTGTGGAAGACCCACCGAAGCTTAAATCTGCCAGGTGAGAGACGAGCCTTCAGATCCTCTGTGGTTGACCAATCCGAACGCCAGCGATTGTTCCCGTCCTTGCAGGAACCCGCTTCCCTCCTCCTCTCCCTTCTGAATCTTCTGGCGCACGCGTATGGCCTGCTCAGCCTGCGGCGCACCGTTGCGCGGCTGCCGCTGGTTGAGGGCCGCGCCGCGTATCCGTACACGGGGCTGTGGCACTTGTATGCAATTTTCAACATCAATGCCTGGCTCTGGAGCGCCGTATTCCACGCCAGGTGAGGATCAATTGCTTTTTGGTGAATTTGAGATTCCGCAAGGATAGTAGGTGTTTCGGAAACTTCTGCTTCCAGAAAAGTGGGGCAAAACGCCGTCGACGTAGGGCCAAGTATCGAGAAGTTCATGCGTAAGGGCGTGTCTGAGCGCTTCGGAGGGTATGTCATGCAGTGCTCGCAGGACTTCGGACTGGGTTGTTTTTTATCAAGCTCGGTTGAAAGGCAGACAACCAAGGCTTTGCCAGCATTTTCAGGTAGGGTAGACCTGAATAGAGCCGTATCAGTAATGGTTTCTGGCAGATATTGTCGGAGGGAAGACGGCCAAGAGTGCGCTCTGGAAGCACCTCCACCCAACGTTTGGTTAGGCAAGCCTCGTGAGGAGGCGGTCTGTGCTGGACCAAAAAGCGAGACGCCAATCTTCAAGTATTGCAACCGGTTAGCTGTTCTGGCCGCCCAGAACTGCACGAAAGCCATCAAAGATCTTCTCTGAGATCCTCCGAAGTATCACACTTTTGCAAGCTCTGCAATGACGGATGTGTAGCCCTTTCTGCGTAACGGCTTGACGTCGCTGCGAAGAAAAGAGCTTGTGAGTCCTGTCTGAACCTTCTTTGGCAAAGTAATGAGGTTCGCTGGGGCAGTCTGCGGACCTCGGCTAACAGTTTTTCCTGCCTGAGTAGATACTGACACGCAAGCAGCACTGATGCTGGTACCTGAACTTGGCGGCAGCTCAAAAAAAATCCTTTCAGGTCCTGTTCGGTCACATCCTCGTGGTTTCGGAGTAGGAGTGACTCCATTTTGTTTAAGGTTTCGTCAGAACGGCAATCTTATCAGCTTCCGGGGACCATCTGTTGGCCCCGAAAAGACTTCATCGGTCTGTCCTGTTCCTGCGTAGGTTGGGCAAACGGTTTGGGGCTTGTCCCCCATTGTGATCTGCAGACGAGAGCCCCGACCGGTCTTTGCAATTGCAGCAAGGGGACACGTGTCGTTGAGTCTCGTCAATTGCAAAATCAAGGGATCAAAGCTTTGCGGCATTCGCGGATGCAAAGTGAGAGTTGATGACCGTTCCTAATGCGTTACAGGGACTGCAAGGTAACGGAGCAGCTGGACTACTACTCCGCGGTCGCGCTCCTCGGCTTCTCCCTCATCGTCGCACTGATCCGGGCGCTGGGGCTCCGAACCGAGGCGGCGCAAGTGACCGTGTCCGCGCCAATCATTGGCTTTACCACGACGCACATCTTCGCTCTCATGACCTTCATTGACGACTACTGTGAGTTTTTCTACCTTCTTTGTTTCGTGGAGCTGTGACGCGAGCAGTCGAGAAAAGTTCTACCTGATTGCAATCACGAGTCGAGAAGTGGAACAAGAGAGTCCTTTGAAGTGAGCAGACTGCCAAAGCAGTCGCTCCACGACGAATGTGGTGGTGTTGCAATAGATTCACGAAAGTGGTCACGAGCGATTTTGCACTTTGACAATTGCATCCAACATTTTCGAGTCGCGTACCTTAGGATCAACGAACACAGTTTGAGGGTGCTTTTCTCTCGTAGTGCCTTTCGACCTTTCATAATTCAGCTTGGCGTGGCTGAGCCTTGTGTAATCGGCCCTTGTTAATTTCCGCCCTTCGATAGAAGATGCAATCGTTGATTCTTCTATCCGTACTCTTCGTTACACTTGGCAACCGCTTTCGTCTCGCATAGCCACCGTCCGTTTCTGCAGCATGGAACATGAAGGTCTGCCTGACGATGGGCGCACTCCAACTTGGGACGTGGGCGATTTGGGGCGTTCGGTCGAGACACCCCAGTCTTCTCAAGCTGCTCGTTGCAATCTTGGGGGTTGCTGGTGCGACTGCGCTCGAGGTGTTTGATTTCCCCCCTTATTTTGGAGTTTTTGACGCGCACTCTCTGTGGCATGCTGCGACGGTGCCACTTGTGCTACTCTGGTGGAGTTGGGTCAACGATGATGCTCGATACGTCGCTCAAAAGGCTTTGAAAGGCAAAGACGTGGCAGAAAAGGGCAAAACTAGTTAGAAGTCGTGTGGACGTTTGCTTGCACTCTGCGTATATAAAAACTCAGGTAATTGCAACCTTAGCCGTGGTAGTTGATAGTGTCTATGTCGGACCCTGCCCTTACAAGCTTGCGGTCTGGCTGCGGCGTTGCAAACGAATTGGCGAGGAAGACTGGATAAATCAAGTCCAAATGTTGATGACTGTGTGACACTTTCTAATGGGACTCGCTTGACGGCCCGCGGCGGCAGCATCACATCTCAACGTAGATTTATCACAAGGCATTCAGCAGTCGTGCACGTGACATAGGTATGCCAAAGCGTGCGTAATTTTCGTACACGTTGGTCACGCTTGCCTCCTGTGTCCGATCAGCATGTGCCATCGGTTAGGAACTCATTGCGTACTGTACGAATGAGTCCGCGATCGAGCTTGCGTCCAGAGCTGACCGAGCGTACAGGACAGTAAATTAGTGACTGATAGTACGCCGCGCATTGCCGGGCCAGGCTGGGCTCCTCCGCCACTGGGCCAGGTCGTATTGAGTGCTCAATGTCTGTCAGTGACTCACGGTCTACTCATGGTGCCCGTTGTACCAGGTCGGTACGTAGACCGGACAGTCACGATCAAGTCACAATATGTCCACGCGCGGTGTCCGGGCACGGCGACCCGTTCAAATATGTTGAAGCAATTTCATGATTGCACTCACTGAGGCCAGTGCATCTGCTTGAATAGCCTGCCCGGCCGTGCGGCTTGTAGCACGTCGCTTGCGCATATATATTTCACAAATACGCCAGCTAGCTTAGATTGCCTGGAATTAGTGAGTATATTGAGTGGCCGGACTCACATTCTCGTACTTCGCAGCTCAATTCAGATATTTCATGTGTCGCCGGTCGACCATACTCACCGTCGTAGCCCCCGGGGCGGCCCCTTCTCTACACGTCATGAACGTCGATCCAAGGCGACGCAAATGCTGCATGTATCGAATTGATCACGTACTGGCAGCATGAGTCGGACTCCATAGATCCACAGGCTTAAGAAGGTGCTTGCCTAAGAAACTTGAAAGCGGCCTGCTCGTGTGTTGTGTGCACGCTCGAACCTGACTGAGAGGGTGTCCGGGCCTATGGCGGGTCCCTTATCCCGCTCTCAGAGCCGAGCTGCACAGTGATCATATACTTACACTTTTACACTTTAGCTCGACAAAAGCCTCCGCACAGTATACCGTACATAACCCTGCCCAAAAGCCCCTGGAAACGTGCCACCAGTGCCGAATTTCAAGCTCAGGCTGCCTATTTCTCGCGCTTCGACCACCGTAATTACTACACAATTACCACCGCGGGGACCACAGCGGGCGGCCAGCTTAAATCTGTACGTTCCAAAACTTGCAGTACTTTCATCCTAGTAAGTCAGTATGGTCGATCATACAGTCTTGATCAGCCGTGCCCGCGTTTCCTTACTTCACATCGACTTCCCTGGCATATTAGCCTTCAGCTAGCCCCCCTAAGTGGACAATCGCGGCGTTGCCTCTGGACCTTTAAAGCTTTGCTGGTTCCTCTCCGCGTGTTTGCACGTTCTGATTTGCAGTATTGAGACAAGGCAATCTCGCGGTCATGATGATGAATCACCCTGACGACACCAGCAGCTTCTGCTCCAATTGACGCCCAAGCCTTGCCTTCATGAGATCATGCAGAAGGTACGGTGAATATTATTCCTTCGAAGTCGCGGCCGCACTGCGCGACTGAGGGTTTAAGACAGGCAGGCTCCACAAGTTCGGGTGCCAGCCTACGTAGTACCGTACCGTACGGACTGAGGACTCCGGGACCGTCTGATCAATCCACTGAGCTATCGCGGGTGCGCGGCCGCGCGGCCCCCGGTCCGATCACGGCGTGCATCCCATGCGCACCGGCTGCGCACATCCAGCAAATTCATGTTAGCCGTCCAAGGAGGCGCCTGTCCATTTGACCCTCGAACAACATAGTCACTTGGCTAATGTTTACTTCTAGTAGCTAGCTTTGGCATTCACGAGTGGGCCTGCAATATCAGGAATCCTACCATGCGCGGAGCCACCACAACATGACACATGCATTACCAATTCAGTGATGGTAGGCCTGATTTTAGCTGCTGGAGGGAATGTTTCGGACCAGATCCCAGGCGCCGGAACGTATCGATACATTGAATGATGGCGCATAATGATGAAGAGGTGCCTGCTGTACGACCGTAATGAATGCCAAGCATATTGCCGGAGTAGGTTTTACAAGATAGTGGACATGGAGTACTTCGCCGGGATGACAGGCAGACATATCGTTCTTGCTGGTACTCATTATGGACGTAAACTTCAAAAGTAGCCACAAAATGCTGTAACCAATCAAAATGAATGACAACAAGCGGGCTCATGCCGCGCTTGTTGAAAACTCGTGATGGGATTCCCTTTGGGGGTCCCTCCTGGGATTTTCTCCATGCTCTCATGTTCGAAGCAAAACTTTCTGATACCGTCAAAACAGCCCACAGAAACAAGCAGCCCAATTCGTTTCTCTGCTCGATCTACACGATTGCCGCCACGATAGCGGGCAGCTTACGACTTCTAGACGTCGACCTTTAATTGCCGTATTCGACTTCAACCCTTGCTCACGAAGTGCTCACGTTCCCATGCATGATTGGTTCCAAACCTGACCGTCTATACTGAAGAAGTCCCGCGACCTTCAACTAGACTACAGAAGACGTCGTTCAACCTCAGCTACGTGTGCACTGTAGATTATCAACGCAAGCGCCGTAGACCATAAGCTATGCCTTCCCGTCCGGTTATTCCTCATCCTCGCACTTTTCCGCGACGCACGCCCGGCTGCGCGTCTTCACGTCTGACGTCACCTCCTTGGTGAGGCACTCCTAGAAGCTCTTGTTCAGCTCCTCTCTGTCCAGGTTGCGCCCGATGAAGCACAGCCGGTTGACACGTGTCTCGCCCGGCTGCCACGCCTTCCCGACGCCGTTCGCGGATGACGTCATGCCCATCAGCATGTGGACGCCTGCGCACGGGGTGACGTAATGTTGGGAATCAACGATGATCAGTAGTAAGAATCGACGTGAGCAGCTGCTGAAGACGGCGATGGTCCTGGCATTCTCGTCATGCTGTCAAACCATTCAGCCCTCTAAGTTGTGGAGGAGAAAAGCAGGATTCTCAGCGTTCCGGTCAGATGAGTAGCCGACCGTTAGAAGAGTTTGTTATCGGTAGCCCTGTTCATGACGGGGCGTTTTTGTGGAGGCGACGTGTTTCTCCGACCAAAACTACCAGCGGGAGCCCGAGTTGATACGGATAAAGCCTGAACGAATGTCCGAGAGAGATATGGCTTCCTGCTCTTTCGGCGCTCAGAGCTTACCCTGGAACACGAACTTCTCGTCCGTCCCCGCAACGGATAGAAGCCCCTTGGACCGGAAGATAACCGTACCCTTCTCTCTCAGAAGCGTGCTCAACCATCTGCATACAGAGAAAGATGGTTAGCAAGAAGATATAGAAGGAGGATCCCATGAAGAGACACGTTGCATCAGACCTTACCTGCCGTATGACGGCTGTCTTTCACTTGCGACAAGGACTTGAGTACGTCGATCAGACGTCAACTTTGCAGACCGGCCTGATTGTATCTTGGCAAGGAAAAAGTGACAGCACCTTGCATATCCATCACTAGAAACCTCGAATGGCGGTTGCAAAAGGTGCAAAAGTTCCGTCACTCTAAGTTAATAAAGGCGGCTCTGCCAATGACGCAGGTTGCAATAGAAAGAGGTTAGCTCCGAAAGCGGAGCAGTGGAAAACAATCGGGGAGGGCGCACTTGTTGAGTTTCTTCATGTCGACGTTGCCCTCCAACAAGATGCCCACGCTGGACACGCTGACGTCATGCATGTGCTCAGCATCGACGTCCATAAACTCGGGGTCCATCTCCATGACGCGGCCCAGGTCGAACGCCTGCGCGACACGTGGCACTTTCTTAAGAGACCGATTGCTTCCCCTTGAGCGAAGCGATGCTGGCTCATATGCACGTCGAGGTTTATCTCACCGGAAAGCACAACTAGTGCTTGGAAAATTTCGGTCTGGGAAATTTCTCGGACAAAGAGCAGAATGAGATACCCGTTTTCACAATTTGATGAAGTTGCAACAATTATTTGGTACAGGCAAACCGTCGAAACGACACGAGTCCGTGGATGTATTTTGCAGAATGTGCTGGCGTCGATCAAGTATATTCTTGAACCTCTCTTCACCAGTACAAGTGTTTGGATATCCGATCCCACTGGGCGACCCAAAGGCTTGCAGTTGCCTGCTTTCTACGAATGCTCGAAAGCAAGCTGTTGCGACGAATCTTTACTTAACGATACAAATAAGCAATCTCGGGATGACAGAGGAAAGTTGGATCAGAGAGGACAAACCAGTACGTGCGCGGACGCTCACCTTCAGGCCCAATATCTCATTCAGAGGCACGCGCGAGTTCTGGCAATCAATCATGTCGCAGTACTGTGGCGGTTGAAAGCAACACGTGTCAGTTCGACGCCTTCGGAACCTTTGCTTCCAGTATCGAGGAAGGGGATTGCTTCTTGTAACCTTTCCTTGCCGGGAATTCTGTGCTAAGATGGAGATATGATCGACCAGACAACGTACGTACAGATTCGGAGATAAGTAGGGCGGCACCTTCATGCATTCCACTGTCAACTCCATTGCCCACTTTTTGAACAATCCTTCTCTCGTCTTACCAATCAGTTTTGAAACCTTGGTGTTTCTCCTATTCAACCATATACTCTCTCAAGAAAACTCTGACCAAAGGCGTCTGCACCACTTAGTTGGGCACTTTGTCACGATGAATGATCTCGTTTTGCGGTAGCCGACCGCAGCAGTCGAGAGGCTTTTCTCACCCTGTTGATGGCGCGGATGCTCTTCTTCACTCGCTCCTTTTCTTCGGGCGTCACGAGATCGATCTGAGAACACATTGTTTTTAAAGATCAGCCTCTCCACCAGGGCGTTGGAAGCCACACTCTTACGACACGATAAATCGTTCTTGCGGAAACTCGCAGGATAAAAGGTGAGTCCGTTCTTACAAATCGAAAGAATTCTGATAAGCGTGCCGCTCTTACCACGTTCTTCCAAGCACGATGCCGAGAAAATCAGACGCTTTAGTGCTTATCCTTTTTGAGTCGGAGGGTCAAAAAGTCCAGCTCAGCTTCCTGGCCGTTCCAATAATAATCACCATCCAAGACCTTCTGTAAAGGCTTGGGTGATGATTCATTTACCTTGTTTAGTAGGATCTTGTCGGCAAACGCGACCTGTTCAACTGCATGAGAGAAAGGCAGAGGGCTCAACACTTGTCGTGACCAAATCTTGAATTATGCTCAGGTCAGCAGTTTCCGTCTGGCTCTTTGTACCCCTTGTGTTAACCTTGAACCTGTCAAGAAAGGTCTTTTATCACTGACCGGCCTTGGATTTTGATGTCTTTCAAGGTCAAGCCTCGCCGCTGGGAATACCAGGAACGGCACAGCGCTTGTCACTCCCACAAACTTCGAACCCAGCGAGTGCAAAGAAGAACATGGTTGGCAGAGTATCCGAAGCGGAGTTGCCTCGTCCCTCGTCACGACTCAAACAGGGGAATCTGGGATTGTCCTGCCCCAGTTCTAGCAGTCACTTACACTGGATCAAAGCCACTGCCTTTCGACGCACTTCAGAAACAGAGGCCTCCGCAACTGACTTGGATGTTGAAGATCTCTGCCTTGTGCTCCGCTCTAATACATAACACTACCCAAGCAGAGAAAGGACTGTCCATGTACCCACGTTTTTTTAAAAAATTGACCGTCTAAAAAGCTCTGTTTGAAAGCAGACAATCGGGGCCGCTGATCTTCCTTTTCCTTCAACTGCGACTAATCTGTGACTCGCCATATGGTTATGTGACCTTCCCTGCTTTTGATTCAGAGCCTGTGAACCACTGAACCTTCGGATTCCAACCTTCCCTTTCCTTCGTTTCAGACCCTGTGACTCGCGTGAACCTCTGAATCTGACCTTCCCTCTTTTTCGATCTCGGACCCGTGACTTTCAAAGTTATAGGAACGTCACGGGGCCGGAGAAAAAGAGCCCACATAATCGTTCTCGGCGCCGACCTTGCAGATCCCCTCGCTCGATCGGACCCTGTGACTCGCTGTAATCTCGAAGCTTCCCAGCTACATCAAATAAGGAAACAAAAGAGAGGTTCCACGTACCTTACCCGTTCTCGACGCCATCGGGCTTCTTCTCCTTGAGGTGCTGCTCGATGTGCTTGGCGTCCACGACCGTGAGGATGGAGTCGATCGTAAACAGGTCCTTGATGTCGTCACCCACGAAGGACGTCTGGAACAGAGAACAACAAAGCCCGTACTTCTGATCTGTGTTCAACTTTCCTTGCTCGAAAACTATCAGGCAGGAAGGAGTGTTTCGGCAGCTGAAACGAAACTGATCAAGTACACGTGCAGAAGCCGATCTTGGGCGGAGAAGCACACGTTTCTGAGCTTTTTGTGAGGTGTAAGTGAAACAAGCGGAAGACTGAAGAGAAGTCACGGCCTGGATGCCAAACGGATTCACTTCTCACCTGAGCGACGGGGGCCGGATCTGCAAGCCCAGTGGTCTGCGGGACAGATAGTGATGGGATCAGGGGACTCAGACAAGTCCAATGCAGCAAGCCGTCTGCGAGAAGTGGCCGTTCCCTTGTGCAAGAGTTTCTCGGTTTCTCCACGAACTCAATCTACTGCACTTTTTAAACGCGGGCTGGCATGAGCGAATCCTTCTTCGTCCATGCACAATAAGCATTCAGGTGACGAATCTACAAAATGGCGCACCAAACATGCCGTGCGTGTCGAGTTGCTCAAAGGAACGGCCCGTTCATCAGCCGACCGAACGAAACAACGGTCAGACGCGCAGCGATTAGAGACTGCGCACCCTTCAAACGAACATGCGAAGTTTTTAGCGATAGACCCATAAGAACGATTTGGCTTGTTCCAAAGCGCCGCAAGAAACGAGGACGGGGTCAGCCGTACCTCGATAATGATTGCGTCGAACTGGTTGCGCCGCGCAGCCAGCTTGGTTAGGATGCGGATGAGATCGCCCCGGACGGTGCAGCAGATGCATCCATTGTTCATCTCGAAGATTTCTGTACAAGGGAACAAGGGTAGTATTTTTAAGCGGGGGTCATGAACGCGTTCCTTTTGCGCTGGCTCAAATGCCGCTCCAAGAGAAGGCCGTCCAAAAGGTATCTTTCTTATTTTCGATAGGGCAGTCGACTGTAGAATTTTGCTTTTGCAATCAACTCTAGCGGCTGAAATGACCCAAGATATGGCCGGTGGTGACTTGATGCGTCTTCCAATACGTGGAACTTATAAGTTGACAGCCGGACAAAGTTGCTCCGTCTGCAAAGGGAAAGGTTATAAGATAATGGGGACTAGGGTCCACGACCTTACTGACGACACGTAGCAGAAACATTGTCGCAAACTGTTCGACGATTGAGCGCTTTCCGAGCTTTGGAAGTTTTGAGAAGTATCGCTGCACTCTGCATGGAAATCTGTTGGGCCTTCAGAAGGCATATAAAGTCAAAGTCGTGTCTCAGCAAATCTAGTGTCAAGGACAGCAAAATCGATACCAAAACAGACCTGAGGACCGCCGTTACTGGGCTGAATCGATTTCTGGTGACCAAGGATCCGCCAAACCCACCTTCTTCCGTGTCAACGACCAGAGCGTCATCGATTCCAACCTCACCAAACCTGCAAAACAGAGCTTCAGTGCTTGGAGCAATCAGTTTGCATCTCGAAATTGTGACAGGAACTTCATCTTTCTCTTTGCAAATGTAGCAACGAAAGACACTAGGCTCCGAAAGGCAGATTGGAAGAAGCCAAAGGTCTTTGACAAAACTGGAAGACCACAGCAATGGGTCCAGTAGTATCCAGCACATCAAGCAAGGCCAATGAGATAGAAGCCCGGAGTTTTGGCTCAAAGATGCCCAACAAGGAGAGAGTCATTGAGGTAAGAAAGGCCAGTTTGGCAGAAGCCAACAGTGACTGGAAGGTGCGGGGCAAACGATAACGGCCCACGTACTCGATGAAGGCAAATAAGTGAGAAGCACTTTTTGGCTAAGAAGCCCAGACCTGTGAAGCCACCTAATTGTAAGCGAATGCTATTCATTCGCCCAAAGCAAACAACACACTGCAATAGAGATTCAGAATGCGGACGTTGCACTTACTCGTTCTCAATGATGGCAATCTTCATGCCATGGTTCTCCTTCAAAACTGCAGGACAAAATCCATACCTCAGTGAGAGGAGAACCAGAGATAGCTTGAGTCCGCAAAGTATCAGCGTTATGGGGGTCGAAAGGTCTGGATTTGCAAAGAGGTGGCTCCATGGATTTCCTCTTGTACTTTGCAGGTACCTTCCCCAGGGGGCTTTGGAGACTCCTGTGGCCATCCCTTTGGCTGCCCATAGATTTTGCCTCTAGGTCTGTACAGCCAGACTTCCCAATCAATGCACAAGACACCATTTCAGCGGGGCTCGGAATCAGCCAATTGCACTCACTACAAAAGGATCTCAGGCATCCTTCAAACCCGCTGCAGCACGAGGCACCTGAATGCTTCTGCGTCGGAAACTAGAGCATCAATGGCGCCACCAGCCAATAACTTCTATCCGTTTTAGTGCATGACAGCTCAAAGCAGATGAGTAGCTTCGCATACATAGGCCTGCTTACTGCCGATCTAGGTGGTAGATAAGGACGAGGTGAGTCCAAGAGCATAAGAAGGGGAGAACCAGTTTCACTACTTTCAGAAAGCTGAATCCAATTTCCCTTTCGAAATTGTGCACAAGAAAGCTATGTAGAGTAGAATCAAACCACTTCGCTGCCCTCAAAGTGGTTTGCAGGACTGGAATCGCGACTTTCCGCCAGCTATGCGCTTGACTTGGAAATCCAGTGCGGTGCTCAGTACTTACTATAGTTGATGAGAGTGGTCTTTCCTGCACCCAAGAAACCAGTAACCATAGTCACTGGGATCTTCTTGACCGCTGTACCATTGCCGTTCTGCGCCGCCATCGTTCCAAGCTCGAGTTTTCCCCGGTTTCAAGCGAAGTACCCTTCAAACCCCGCAAGCGCTCGCTCACAAGACAGGACCGCAAAGGTTTCGAGTATGCACTGAGCTAGTAGCTGCAAAGCTGGCTGAATGCGACACAGTCCGCTCGTAGATTCGTATGCTTCTTTGAAGTGCGTGATGCAACACTTGACTCTGGAATGTAGACAACAGGAGGTCTTGATTCGACTTCACTCACAGCTCAAAAGCAGTCATAACACCTACTAGTTACGTAGTCAGCATAGGAATAGGTTCTGGCCTCGGTTGCTTTTGTACCTACCTAGGCAGCTAGGCAGCCAGTGGCCACAGCGAGCGGAGCAATCTTCAAAGTACCGTAAACGTGGCCTCTACATGAGATATTGCTGACCACAAATCCGGTCCCACGAAGTTCTCATTCAATGGACGTGCATGGAGTGAACGTGTACCGGTGAAGCACATTACTACTTAGGTATACAGATTCCACTAGATTCGAGTGTACGGTAGGTACCGTATTGCTTCACCATGTACACACATAAACGCCATGTAGGTATCTATTTGCGTGGCAGGGCAAATCGAACTGTGGGCGCCAGACTGCAGCTAGCCGTTCTCGCACTCCAACCTTGTTGCCAATCGGCGAGAAAGCAAATTGGTTCATACACACATACACGATTGTAAGCAGAGTGTGGGCCATTTTGGGACTCGTGCATGAGCGGTAAGCAGATCCACGACGACCTTGCCGCTGGGGCAAACCAAGATATGCTGAAGATTCAACGAAAGGGACAACGCACGAATGGCACTGATGAACGCGGACGCCAAATGAAAGCCATCGCTCAGCCTGGCATGCTGTACGCGAAGGATTCACATCTTTCCAAACTCCGTGAATTTCCACACGTTGTGTAACGGATATCAGCCAGCTTTTGACAAACGTTACGCTTCAGACAAATATATGTTTTGACAGATGACACGACCCTGGTCTTTGTCACCTCCTTGACGGCACTTTCTTTTTCTCCTTTGCTTTCAGCGCCGCCTTGGCGAGCTCCTCCTCCTCCGCTTGCTGCTCCTTTTCTAGCCGCTCTAGTTCCGTCAGCACCGGCCGCAACTCCTCGTAGCGCGCCTCCGCCAGCTCGAAGCCGTCCCTGCGCACACGAAAAACATACATCAGGGATTGAGAAAAGCAAAGGCGAGAGCGAAAGAGGTGCAATTATCTTTACCCTCGATGGAACACCGGCAAGTGCGTCCCGTTTGCTTTCGCCTCCTTTGCGACCACTGTTTTGAGAACGAGCGCGCTTGGGTTGTCGATGTGCCAAGGGGGGCGCATAAGGGCGGAGAAGCCCCAGCGGAACAGAGCGCAAGTAGTTCAGAGTGTGCACGTTTTCCGAGCTTCTAGGCCTTCACCTCAAAGAGAAGCTTTAGGCCTATCATTACCAGGGGCGGTGCTGTTTCCAGCGGATGACAGCCATCGTACAACTTTGCACCTTCTACGACTTCGAAATAGCAACAAAGATACTTTACTCCGTGGTGGCAAACATGCCACGCTGACCAGAAAAGATGTGCGCCAATGACCTGTCAATTGCAGTGTGGATTTCAAAGTGTCCACGATATTCTGGTTAATTTGTCTGAAGCTCCAGGTTATCACTCTAGCAAACAAATCAAAGAATTTTACATTAAGGCAATGGCATTCTTACCTTCGAAGCTCCTTGCCCGTATGGCTAGTGATCTCGTACGCTTGTATTTGCCAGTGCTTCCCTGTCCGCGCGAAGAACTCCCGAAGGCTTTCTCCTGCCTGCAAAGTCCGGGGGTAGGCAGTCGCAAGCGATACAGACCATTGACAAAAACTTCCGAGCGCCAACATTTCGAATCTCGAGGCCTTTGCGTTTGCTTCTGAGTTGACCGCAGAATATGCGTCCGAGCTCACGTTGTATTTACAACCTCTTGGTGCGCAATCTTTCACTCTCTGATCGGAAATCAATAGAATGGCGTTACATCGTTACTGTAAACTGTAAAGTGTAAACTGTACAGATCCAACTGATGAGCTCCTGACAATATCGTCCCTGGATCAGTAGCCAGATTTATCTGAGAAAAGCACATTCCTAGGTCAGCGATTACAGTCATCGCTTCTTCTGTTTACTCCTACATACACAAGCAGCAATTGCGGACGGCTCCGCCTTACCAGCGGCGTCCGGTCCGCGTCCTGCAGTCCGAGCTCCGACCGCAGCCTGTCCCAGCTCGATCTTCCGCTGCTTCCGCAACATCTTTCCGGCCTCAATCGCGCTTAGCAGATGAACACAGATTTCGGACGGCTCTGAACTTACCAGTGGCGTCCGGTCCGCGTCCTGCAGTCCGAGCTCCGACCGCAGCCTGTCCAGCTCAATCTTCCGCTGCTTCCGCGACATCTTCCCGGCCTCAATCGCGCGGAGCGCCGCAGCTGCTTCTTCTCCGGCCGTCAGGGGGGCGGGCTCCTCGCCTTCCTCCTCGCTCTCCTGCAGAATCGTTTGGCTGGCATTGGGATTTGACTTTCTAGAAACTGCTCTCCGTCGATGGAGGATTGGCTGCAAACAACTTTCTTTATTGACGTCGTGGAGGACTTCTTGGGGGCGAGTCATCGCGGCCTCACGGTTGACTCCTCAGCAGAACGCGCAATCCAGGGCTCTCGGGAAGGGAATGACGTCGACCGCCATCCTGCTGAGGACGCAGTGATCAGGAGGGACGAGCGGAGCATAATGCCAACGTTGTGTACTCTGATTCCGACTCAAATCGATTGCAACCAGGCAACCGCGGCTTAACAAGTTAGCAAGTGCGTGTCACCCTTGTCGTCCCCGCGGGATGCCTCGATGCGTTAGCGACAACTCAAATTGCTCAGTCCACCAGCTTCTACACAATCAGTGTCTTAGCCATGCAAACTTTTTCTTTCAAGTGCCTTTTGAACCACCGCGACGACAAAAAGTCAACAGATCACAAAATGTTATGGGTTGCACCACAAGAACGTGCAGAATCTTTCCCTAGGCAATGGAACGCCGCCCCGGGCTTTGGGCACCTCTGACGCTCACCTCGTTGTCACTGCTCCCTTCCTCCTCCTCCTCTTCGTCATCGTCGCTCTCTTCCTCGTCTTCTACCTCGACCCAGTCCGTCTCCGTGGCCTGCACAAGACCAATTTCGAATTCTTACATTCTCTCAGACCGACTAGGGACGGCTTCGCAGAGCAGCGACAAAGTCGAGATCCTGAAGACTGCGTGCGTCGCTGTTCGTCAGGTTCTGCTAGTGAAGCATAACCCCCACGCTGTAACCAGGAGAGTTACGCCGCAGCTTATGTTGCAGCGCAAGCTGCAAAGGCCCTGAGTAGCGACGTGCCATTAGCCTGTTCCCCGGCGTCTAATGGGTCTTTACCGCCAGCAAATAAATTGAACTGCTGCCAGCAACTAAGCAACAAACTCCTGCTATTTCGTTTCCCGGATGAAGATGATCAAGAAGCACCAACGTATCGACGTGAACACACCGACGAGACTGCTTTTAACAGATTAGGCTGGCTTTGAGCAATAGGCGGCTCAGAAAACCACATGACTATCGTACGCTCTGCACTCCAGGCCGCATCCAGGCTTTGGGCTAAACCCCTGAGCCCTCGAAACGTGCACCGTACACTGACGGAGCAACAACAACCATAGCGCCCAGTACCTATTTTTCGGCCTGATCACATCCATGATCGCCGCTGACGTCACCTCATATGCTGACGCCATCACGCCCACAAAGAAAGCGGAGCGCGCACCTCGATAAGTTGCGTCCAGCCGTCGAGCTTGGCGAGGTCTAGCGTCCACAAATCGTCCAGCGTGATCTCCTTGTCGCCAGCCTCCATGATGCCGCCGTACAGCAGCAGCATGTTGCCGCTCACAACTAGAGATGCGTTGATCCGCCCGCAAGGAACGGAAGGCTGCAAAGAAGGAGAGATGAGATCTGGTCACGGATCGACGGGTGCCTCGTCCAGGATTACAGGAGAAATCAGGAGATTTGGGATTATGAGCGAGCAGGGGGCCTCCATTACAAATACGAGAGAAGGTAAGGAGTACAGTAGGTGCCCAAGGGTTGAACAAGCGTCGATGCATGCGAATTAAGCTGGATGCAGTAGCATAGAATCAGTAACATTTGATACGTTCCCTCTTCTCTCTACTAACGTGGAGAAAGTAGAGGTGGCAACGCTGCACAACTCTCAAGGACGACAGAGTAACGGCTCCATTGCAAGCACTACCTTTCCTGCAGTCTATCAACGGACACGCACAGAATACGCAAGGGAACACACTGAGTTCTGTGCCACCTGTGTTGAGAGTCTTGGCCGAATCTCCGCTGAGCAAGAAGAAAGTCAGAACCCTGCAAAGCTTGCTCGACGAGCTTCTTGCAGATAGCACCAAGGATTTGCGAAGTCGGAGAAACAGATGGACTCGTCAGATGCTCACCGCATCTTCGCTTTGCTCGGCTTGCTCCTTCGATCGACTCGGAGCCTCCTCCGCACCTCCCTTCGCTTCTTCCGCCTCGAACCGCTCCTCTAGTTCCTCGTCCAACTCCCCTAGAATCGCATCCGCCGACAACTCCTCCCCTCCGCCAGCGTCCTCCGGCGCGTCTTTTTCGGTTTCGGGGGGATCCGTTTCACCCGCTTTCGGACCGCCTGGCCCGACTCGCCTCTCTACCTCCTCATCCATTTCGCCCACTATGTCGTCCAAGTCAATCTTCCCCACCCCTTCCCCAGCGTCCGCCACGTGTGCGTCCTCATCGTCCGCCACCTGGGCCTCCCCGGTAAACTGCCGGTCCATCTCCTCGATTAAACTTTGTCCCTCTTCCGAGTTTTCCGCCGCTGCTTCGCTGCCCCCCGCAGCGCTACTCTTCAGCCCCCCTCGCTTCTTCTTCTTCTTCTTCGCTTTACTCGACACAACCTCCTCGACTTCTTCGTCCATCTCTTCGACTACCTTTTCTGCGTCAAAGTCGTCCCCGCTTTCCGCATCGTCCTCCTCTACCTCTTTCTGGGCTTGCACTTTGGCGACCGGCTTGGACTTTGTTCGGCCTTTAGGGGCCTTCGGTTTTCGCAACTCTAGAGGGAACCTGATGCAGAGGGAAGTTCCATATGCGATCGGCCTTCTTACTCGAGCTGGCACTTACGTTAGCAGCGAGCAAACATCATAACCTCGACTGAAACAACCAATCGCTTGTTAGATGACTGACAAAAGAACGGAAAATACCCTTAGATTGGACAAGTCGTCGTTTACCTCGATTCAACAATCATTTCCACGAAACAATGAGAAGAAGTAGGAATCTGATGCAGCCGGGTTCATGCACGTTAATGTTGTATGCGGCTTTAGTGAAGTCTACTGGGATTCTAATAGAAGAGGTCTGAGGATCTCCGTGAAGTACGAATTGCTTTTGGCGAAGTAAGGAAGGCCATCCCGCCCCGACTCAACCACTGCCGAGCCAAAGAATAAGCTCAGGAGTAAACGATAGCGCGTGCTCACCATCGCTTATTGTCCATCTGAAAGATGAACATCTCGTTCAGAAACGTGCTCTTGAGGTCGTCCTTCTCCTTGTCCTCCGCATCGACCACGCCGCCAAACATGACCGCCCGCTTCTTGTGCACGCACAGGGAGAAGCCTGCTCGAGGGCCGGGGGGGCTGCCCTGCTTCTTGACCTGCACAAAAACAATAGAAAGACGGTTTAAAATTATTCCGAAGCTTGTAGCTCGCGATTCAGATGAGGATGTTCCATTCCCGGTTCAAAAACTCCGGAAGGAGGCATGCGTGCTGCGGCGAGGAGTATTTGCCGCAGCACGCAACAAGTGCAGCAGGCAACACACGGCAACGTCCGGCGCCTTCAAAAAGCCTATGGCATAGAGCGGATGCGCATTGGCAATCGCTGCCAGGACGGGTCGTCATGGTCACACTACCTGTAAGGTTCCGCGTCGACCGAATTGGCTGAGCGCTCATCTCCGGTCGTGACGACCAATTAGAACGCTTCGATGGATCAAGTGGGAGAAAAAGTACAGACCTAGTACAGATTTTAGCTGGACCGGTACTATCCAAAGCTGTACGCGGACCGGAGATGCAAAGCTGGCGAGCCAAGCAGTTTTCGGTCGACGCGGAACCTAAGGCTCTACAAACCCTCGGAATCTTGTCGTGTGGACCATGCAGGCACCCGAATATTTGTCAAGATTGAAGACCAAGTCTATATTCTCGAAATGGAGCATAGCGGCTCTGACATTGGCAAAAACCATGTGGCGACCACAGAGACTTGCATAGGTCACCATCACGGCCCGAGGCGGTTTGAAGCGTGCAGATGCTCGCCAAAATCCTCTTCCAGAGGGCGAAAACACTCACTTTGTTGACACTGAGCAATGATTGCTGCGACCAGAAAGTTGCAGAGTTAGACAACCTTGAGACGGCAACTGACAATCGCGGCAATAAGCCGCCCTTTTCTCAGTTAAGGTCTGCCAAGGGGTCTTCCCGAAGATTTCAAAGAAGGACTCGAGGAACAAGCACAAGCGCAGCTTGGAAATACCAATCCTTCCACATCTAAAGACGATAAAAATGAAGGGACTTGCGACATATAGAAGATGAGGTCTCCAACAAGAAAAAAAATGTGGCGGAAGAGGTGTGCCAAGAGAAGCTATCACTGACCCGGGAAAGTGTCCACAAAAGGCGAAGCTTTTCAATAAGAACACGACCACCAAAGTCTTCCTTCTCAAATTCAAAGAAAAATTCCATCTCAACCTGTTGGCGTTCAAATGTTGATAAGATAAGTGTCAACACGAATACGTTGGGCTGACGTCTCTGGCTTTCTATCATACTTAGCAAGATTCAGCGACGAGCGTTTGAGGTATGAACTCAAAACGAACTGCTCCGTCTCAGGTAGACCCAAACCAATCGAATGCACAGGAAGTAGCCGCTTCCGGGCAACTTATGCCGCATGATTTCAACACTTCGCACTTACGCACTTGACAAATTTTGTCCGGGAAAATGCGCCTCTTTCAACTTGCAAGACCAACTTGCAACTCATCGAACGGTGCAGCAACTTCGAATCGGATAGGATGAAGTGGTCGACGTTAGAGAGACTGCCAGCATGAACGCAAACAACAGACTTGGACCCTTTCACGCGGTGTCTTTCTGATGAGCATGACGATTGACCATCGATGATGTGACGGCGTACGCGCAACGGCCGCGCCGTGCCGCTACTGCTCCGGCCATCAGTGGAAGTAGGAAATAGGGAGGCCAGTCCATTCTGAAGCGTACTCCTAGGAACGTCATCTGGGGCGTCAGAAAAGTCTCTTCAATCCTGGCTTCTTTGGTGCCAGATGCTCGACATCACAACCCAAATCAGTAAGCTTCCTGAGGAGGGACTAATACCAAGGGTGCATGGACAACACCAAACCTACGGTGATGGAGTTGGCCACCATGGATTAAGTAAGGCACGATGAAAACACAGTGCAGATTCTTTCACCAACCGTGGCCATCTGCTTGTGATGAGCAGAGCAAGTCTGGCCATGACCTCTTATAACTCTTCGACATACTGTCCATGCACTTGGAACCTTGTCTCAGTCCCTGTAAAGTGTTTGTTCTCTAGTAGGTCACGCTCTTCCTCGCTATGGGTAGAAAATCACACTTTCAAAACTTAACGACCATCTCGAGTGCAACTAGTGGTGGCTTCAGTCTCAACTGCCTCGTCTAACAGAGTGTGCCAGACACCTTCCTCAAGGCCACCAGGATTTGACCCGCTACTTTGAAAATTACAGAAAGAGGGCGGAACAACGACACTTTTAACACGGTCTTTGACACTTCCCAGACTGGCAGCGTCATGAAGCTGACGGCTTTGAATAGCTTGTTCTTGTGCGGCGCAAGCTTTCCCGGTCTATCCAGAGCGCTATGCTCGAGATTCACCGAGAGCTCATGGAGCTGCGCTTGTTGAAGAAGGAAAGCAACGGAAATCCCTCAGATGCTCGCGCCAACCAACAACCTCTCCCACGCGCACGTGATTGGAGTCACTTGTAGGAATTCATTGGGGGCCGAGGGGGCGTGTAAACCGATCTAGATACGGTTATTTTTGGTAGCAGGCCGATCGAAAAGCTGGCTCCGCCGCATGCAGAGAGAGAAACTTGCCATTGGTGCAAAGTGCTAGCACGTCACAGCCAGGCGGACCATACGTGGATTATGAGATGCTTACAAAGATCTACAACGGAGGGTAGAAGGGGTTTGCATGACGACCGGAATACGCCCTCGGTGCGAAGTACGGACGTGCTCAACACAACGGTCCATTATGGAAGCAAGCTTCCAGGTTGTTTGCTTCCAGCAGAAAGTTCACAAGAATCAAGTTTCCAACTGATGAGGCCTCCTGATCGGAAACCAATACTATATTGAGCCAGAAGCTCACAGCAGACATCGTCATTGCCACAACGCCAACAGAAGTGCGTTGGCACAATAACCCTTGCGCTTATTGCACCAGACAACGAATACCAAAACAGCGCTACAACAGGGCGCTTCAAAACCCCGTTACTTTGATGATTGCAATCAGAAGACGATACAAAGAAACAATACGACGAAGACGGGGCTTCGAAGAAACTCATTGGAGCCGTGGCAATCCGCTGGGCGTCGTCAACTCACCAGCCGCAATGCAAGTAGGCTGTAAGCACAGACGTCCATCTTACAGAAGCAGTATAAGCACTTCAATTTTTGTAGAGACACGGTCGAACAAACCGTCACCAAAAGCACCGTCCCTCGTTCAAGCCCGGCGTACCCAGGCCCTCATCCGAGAATGGCCCGTAACAAACACAAACAGAAATGGTGCGACACTTCTGCTCCTCCTGATTCCCTTCTTTTGACAATTGATTATTGAGTACGTTCTGCTCTGGCCCAGTGCTTTATTGCAGCAGCCAAGGCGCAGCAAATCAACCTCGTTTGCCTTTATCGCCGACAACACCGTTGACTTTCTGACTCACCTTGTCACAGTTGCAGGTCCGCAGTTGCAGGTCCGCAGGTGCAGCCACCACATGTTCGCGACAACATTGCCTCGGGTAATAACGGACTTCAATCGCTTAGCCCTCTCGGTGAAAACGAGATGCTCTTTCAGGTGAGCTACTTACTCGAACGGCGGAGCGGAGGACGTTAGTTGCCGTGCCCCCCGTCTTTGGTCGCTTTGTAGTTCTCGAACCCCTCAAACCCTACAAGCCTCAAAACCTCTAAATCCAGAAGTCCAAACTAAGAGGCTCACCTTTCCCCACGTGCACGTCCGCGGGTCCAGGTACCACCTGGCTGCGAGCACGTTGCCCTTTGCCTCCCCCATCTTTGAACGCCTCATTAGTCTCGAACCACTTAAACCCTAAAAGCGTCACAAAATCTTAAAAACAAAAATCCAAACTAAGAGGCTCACCTTCTCCCAGGTGCAGGTCCGCGGGTCCAGCCACCACATGTCCGCGAGAACGTTCCCCTTGTCGTGTCCCCCGTCTTTGGTCATCTTGTAGCTTTCGAAGCCCTCAGACCCAATAAGCCTCAAAACCCCTGAAACCCAAAAGTCCAAACAAAGTGGCTCACCTTCTCCCAGTTGCACTTCTACGGGTCCAGGCACCACAAGAACGTTGCCCTTGTCGTAGCCCCCGTCTTTTGAGGTCTGAAATCCCTCAAACCCTGTAAGCCTCAAAATCCATCAACCCCGAAATCTATACAAAGTGGCTCACCTTCTCCCAAATAAAGGTCCGCGGGTCCAGGCACCAGATGTCCGCGAGCACGTTGCCCTTGTCGTCGCCTCCCCCGTCCTTGCTGGCCTTGTAGTCCTTGAAGTAGCCGCCGTACAGGAACACCTCGTCGCCATTCAACGCCATCTGCAGGAACGATCGCAGTGCTTGGTCAGTTGCAGTCACAGGGCTTCCAGTGACCTCGCTTGGCCACAGTTGTACAACTGTCTTGGACAAGAACAGACTCTCAGCATCAGCCTTCATAGACTTGACAACAAGCGGTGGACGGCCAGAGCGCTGAAAAAGGGACTTGTCACGTCCACAGTAGAGGCTTATGACAAACCCACGAGTGTTCAGCGTCAAGGAGACGGACAGAATCGTTCGGTTTTGAATCGAAACGAGCCACGCAGCTTAGGCACGGAACCTTAGCATTTGTCAATACGATGGCGCAAGATTGTGTTCACCCTCCGTAAGGAATCGGCTAAGGGCACCTCTCGTCCAATCATCCGGAACACGTATTTCAGCATCTCTTCCAGTCAACCAATAAAACTCGGACGACTCCGAATACCTCACGTGCTGGGCTCCAGGAACCCGTTCTTTGCTCACTGCCTCTTCCAAACATTGCTTTTTAGGCCAACCAAGTAACTCAGCGAAACAGTCAGATATGATCGGGCGCAAATTTCCGAAACAATAAATCAGACAGCCGGGCGGTTGACCAGCAAGTACCGATCGAACTTAAGATTCCTAGGATGATTGATGGCGCCAAAGCGTGCAACCGGGGTGGGCTCTCGGTACCCACTTGGGCCTTTCACAGCCTTTCGCCATTCCCCACAACGACAGCAGCATTCAGCTGATGCCATTCGCATAACGGCAGATAAGTAGATCAAAACGTCGCCTGGTATATTGATGGCATCTGAGCCATTGTCGGGACCTTTGTTTTATGGCCTAACGGTTTCGTCACCATTCCGCATCTCTGTGTACTGGCTGGACGTTTCGAGAAGTCGGAATACAATGGTCAATGATGGCACTTTTAGCATGCTGACAGAACTGACGAGTGGCCTCAAACGACTTAACAAAGCATAGACAATCAGGCAGGCCGGCATAGCATCGCCCACATTCTGGTCGTCAGTCGTCACATAGTAAAGTAGACCAAGATAGGACATGATTTCGCAGGCAGATCTGGGATTTTGCAAGACCGGCATCATCGAGATGCAAACGAATCCTTGGGCCGGGTTCCCACTCAAGCGGCTTGCATCCTCGCCGGCAATAAATTAAAGCTCCACAAAATCGCAGATGAAGGGCATGAAAACAAAACGAAATGCTCAACTTTGGGGCAGAAACCAGAGCGTAGCATCAGCCGAGGTGGTACTTAAGGAGAACAGACTGCAAGAATGAACAATCCAAGGTCTTCATAAGGTTTGCCCAAAAACAACACAGCTCCTGAACATGCGGTCGATGCCGCAATTTACGAACAGCACCGTTCCGGGACTATTGTTGCGAGATCAACCAAAACAGGGCACAGAAGATTCTCCGCATGCTCACGTTGCTGCGGCCAGATCCAGATTGGTGGCAATCTCAGAATTGCAATAGAGCAGCACTAGGGCAGGCCCTCTGTCCGGAAACCGGAAGGACCCTTGTTCCTCTCTACATCACCGCTTGGAAAAGGCAGGAAGGCAGCATCCAAACGCTTGTACATCATTGAAAGCAGAAGGCATGCAAATCAACCGGAGAAACTGCTTGAAGTATACGCGAAGCCATTTCGCCGAGCTGAGAGTCAACTTCGAAGCCGAAACAAGAAGCGCCTTGGAAAGGCGTTCATACGACCTACTCACTAAGGAGGCGACATAGTTGAGGGCAAATAAGTGACACAAAACTGCCGCCTTGGACGTTTGCAGAACTGTCAACATGCGAGCGGATTGCAGCTTTTCAGAAGGCGGGGATCTTGTGAGCACGGTCAACTATTGGATCTCATACCGCGTCCGAAGGCTGGCCGCTTGATGGGCACTAGCCGTCCAAATCTTCGCTCACCAATGCCTCCACAAGTTGCCTTTTACCAAACACGATCATACGCAAAGACGTCAGACACACGGAAATCACCTCCAAACCCATTGCTTCGAAAGATTCCAGCGCACAAACAGCAGTTACGTCGGACGAACAATTCTCGTGACCAACCGTTGGCATCAATATGTTCGAGAGAACAGTACGATGGGCTGCCAGGGCCCAGGCTGTTTTATTACGGCCTTTGGTAGACAGTCCAGCAAGGATGGCAACGGAGCAGCGCATGATCGTCAGACTGCAAAAGCGTCAAGTGCTAAGAGAACGTTTTGAGAGTTGTGTTTGACTGGATACCAACAACGACAAGGCTTAAATGGCATCAATATCGTTGAGCAAGCTAAGTGGGTCCTTGGCAACCCAATGATGACTCCTCATTGCCATCCAAGGGACCCTCAGTCACCAGAAAAGAAGCACAATTAGAAGTGCATGCTAGCTAGGACGGATGAAGTGCGCGACATCTAATTCTGTGAGCGCGACTAACGCCATGAAAGCTAAGGACACACTAATAGAGCAGATGTGGCTCAAAATCGCCTTCATGGGATCGCTCAGCAACAGGAGCACGACGCGCTAGTGCAGAAAAGCTGGGTAGTAGCGCAAAGCGTGGGGTCCTGTCATCTCCTTCCAACCAGCTTCCAGCCCAGGGTTTAGGCGATTGACGCGCTAGCGTTTTATTTCTATGCAGCCTCCGCAACTCTCAAGAGACTAGCAAGCGGTGCAGTACAAGCAATGCAAAAAGATTGGCAAGCTCCTGAACGTACGTTGCAAGTCCTTGCTGGCAGTGACCAGTAACTCCAACAACTGACCGCTCCAAGATACGGAAGCAACGAAAGGGGAGGCTTGTGAGAAGCGCAACCTCGGAAAAGTTTGGGTGGCATCCAGCGGAGGGAATCCGGCTGTGAGTCTTTCCCAAATATGCGTGGTCCGTCATTGCCAACATTTTTAAACGCGTCGTGAGAAACTGTATCTGATGGAAGCATTGGTCTTTGTTGTATGTGTTTGGTGCGGGTTGGCAAACCAGCGACGATTTGACACTACCACAATGCTTCGAGAGACGGGAGAACCAAATCGAGCATGCAACAACACGCAAGCTTTCAGTGCTCACCATTGATTTAGAAAGGCGAAAGACTCTGCAAGCACACCTTATCATTGGGCGCATTGAGGCCAACGCAGAATGCGTGGCCGCTCACTTGGAAGGCGCTTCTGAGAAACACAGCGCTCGCCCCCGGCTTCTGCTTAATTCGATCAACACAAAAATCCAAGTTCAATACATCAGACCAAGGCCGAAGAAGCGTTCTCTTTTTCACTGCGCAAAGTACATTAAGGCCTTCATGTGGCAGAAAAGCCATCCACACGAGAAACCCAAAGAGCAATGTAACTTCCCTGGAGAACGCTCCGCGGAGAGGCGCAGTTCTTGCTTGACCTCGGCACTCAACATCCAGATCTGGATCATTTGACCAATGCCCAAGAGGCACTCTCAATCGCCGTCACACATGCTCTCAAAGGCCCTCAAAGAAACCGGCAACACATGGCAACTAACCTGGAAAGCACTCCGCAGCGACGGCGCAATCGCCCCCGGCTTCTGCTTGACCTTGGTCCACTTATCGACCATGTTCATTGCACCAGACCAGTACCAAACAAGCAATATTCTTCGGGTTTTGCCAGAGTAATAAAAAGCTCTCAATGAAAAGGTAAAACCAATAACATAGATATTGCAGGATGCACCTGCAGAAGGTTGAATCTTACCTGAAAGGCGCTTCTGGGGGACGGGGCGATCGCCCCCGGCTTCTGCTTGACCTCGGTCCACTTCATCTCGTCCAGGTCGAGCACGTGCAGGTCGTCAAAGTAGCGCACCTCGCGCAGCGTGTCGTAGAAGCCGCCGAACACCAATAGCTTATGCTTGTATAAGACCATGCGGTGGCCGGAGCGCGGGCTCGGGCCGCCCTTGAGGTTGAGCTGCTCCCACACGTTAGTGTTAAGGTCCAGTCGCCAGAGGTCCTGAAGAAGAAAGGTTTGAGAAGTCGCAATTGTGTGCAAGTGGAGGGAAGCAGGACGTTCAGCTTTTCAAAGAAGATACGCTTGCCCAAGTGCAGGGTCAAATCCATCTTCAGGTTGCTATTCCCACACGTTAATGTTGAGATCGAGTCGCTGGGGGTTCTGAGGAAAGAATGGCTCTCGAAGATGGATACCTGGCGCAAACATAGCGAAGCAGGGGGTTATGCGTGTGTAAGACGACCTAATGAGAGGCTCCGACTGCCCTTGAAACAGGGTGCTCCGAGGTTGGTGTTGAGGTTCAGTCGCCAGAGGTCCTGAAGAAAAGATGTATTTCGGGGACGAAGAGACGATCAGCAGGCGCAGCAAAGTCGAATGTCTGCTCTCACAGGACAACGCGAAGCGGGCTCTTGAGCCGCAATCACCAGCACGTGTCGATTGGGTTTTACCTAGGTGAGCACCAAACCAGCAGAACTTCGACAAAAACGGAGAGCCAAGCGAACTGGGCCCTTGAGCGAACAGAATGTAGCACCACGGATTGAGCCCCTCGCCAACGAGCGTGGCGGGGGCTCACCACTTAGAATGGACCAGCAGTTTACTCTGCCTGGTGTGTGACGAAAAAGCAGGCCGTGGAAGGCGGCGTTGCTTCCGCTTTTTCCCAGGGGTGAAAGAATTTGTTTTCAAGCGCGGATCCTTAGCCGCTAAGTGTCAGCGTACTTCGTTCGTGATTCAACTTCTGGATCGGGATCATGATCATGCGACCACGGGGACTCGACGACTTTGTCAAGCAGACCAGTGACTTTAACACGTAGATCCGGATTACGGACACAAAGCCAGGTTTCAGGCTTGCATAACCGAGTTCAGAGTGTCTGCAGACGGCCTTCGTTTCCTTTACTCATCCACATCGAGCTCACACGCCTGGAAGATATGCCATGAAAACAGAATTGACACCGCAATCAAAACATACTCCAGCAACAGTAGCAAGCAACGGCTGTCTGACCTTGTAGTGATGGAATCGCTCCTGGTTTGGCGATGTGAACTCGCCCCCAAAGATGAACAGAAAGTTCTTCCAGGCCACCGCTTGGTGGGCACTCCGAGGGGGCGGGCTGTTTGGGCTGGAGACGTGCTTCCATTCCTTCTTCTCGATGTTGTAGCGGTACAGGTCTCCGTATACATACGTCTGGAGCGTAGGAAGGAGTACTGAGATCAGACCTGAGACCCGGTTTGTTCGTTGCCTCTGTCAATGCTCTATCCTTGCATAGGCCCTGGTAAGTCTGTTGGCAGATCAGAATGTAAACTGGACGGTTGGCAGGAGATTTTGTGATGTCAGAATGCGAAGGCTAAGGACCCATGCGAGGTTTGCCAGATATATCGCAAAGCCAAGGAGACGGAGAACTTGGGGAATGGATGAAGATGTGATTTGCTGATGCTAGGCCATTGGTGGTTATTAACCGGACCGGAGGGGGAGGGGAGCAATGGGAGCAAGCACGAAGTGACAGTCTTTTCTTGACGCTTAGAGATGTCAGGTCTTGAAGATTGAAAGATCGATTCCCAGTATTCAGGAAGAATCAATGATGGAGACCAGCGAAAAGCAAGCATCGCAGAACTGGCTTCTCACCTTGTCTCCATTGTAGTACTCCCCCCCATACAGAATTAGCTCGGTGTCTTTGAGAGGATTCAAGGTGACCTGAACAGGTCACAGCGCACGGCAAGGTTCAGCAATGGCGGAGCTGCAATAAGCAGACCCATTTGCAGAGAATCCATGCAATTGGATAGCAACCCAAAGTATGAGACTCGTCATGCACGAGCAACAAGCGCTTCCGTTCACCATGTTACCTGATTTTGACTCTTTTGCTTTGGCATCATCAACGAGCCTAAGCTTCATTCATCCCCACCTGTCAAAAATGGTTATTTTCAACTTTCTTCTTTCTATTTCTCATCAACTGGCCTTGCAGAAGAATATTATGTACCCAGCGTCATCCTCAGAGAGTCTCTGAATCAGCCTGTCAAAAGGCATGCATACCTGGTGCTCACGACTGGCCACTAAGCACAGTATCAACAAAGGTTCAACGTTTGTTTTTGAAAGTACAAGCACCAGCAGTCACTTACTGTGCAATTGCAGCGGGGCGAAGGAGCCGCCACATTCTCGTCAACTTGCACTTCAACCTTCTTTGCGTCCTCTTTCTTTATTTGAGCCTGCAGGGTGGTGCTCCAAAGTATCACAAGGCATGCATAGAGACTGACTGATGAACGACCGTCCATTGGCCTTGAAAATATAATTGCCGCATTGAAAATACTGTGTGATTCAAAGCAAGCTGTGGACTAGGGTCCAAAGGCAAAAGCGCCGCAAACTGGCCGGTGACACAATGGTGCTCATTGGGGTTCAGAAAATTCTGAGAGCCATCGGGAGCACTTCGTTTCAACATTCTTTTTGTCGACATGGAGCAAGCAAATGGAGCCCAAAAACGAACTGGATTTCATGGATATCTTTGTTCGGTTGAAATAAAGCACTGCATTCTTCAGAGCCAGAGCATTCCTTTCGCTCGTGACCTGTCGTCAAAATGCACACAGACACAAGGAGCTCACACACTGCAGTTGCCTCACCATATGAAGTTGTGCAAAGCTACTAAAGCGAGGTGGCTAAGAAACAGGAAGCCCCATGAAATTCTTCATTGTACCACCACAAGGCGCAACCCCCGAAACTAATTCTCACGGCATTCCGATGTATTGTGCAGTTCACAAAGCATACCAGTATCTTGTCAATGTCGTCTTCTTCCGCCACAGCCTTCTCCTCCCTGCGCGCTTTCTTCTCCTGCGACTTCAGTGTCTTCTTCTCCGTCTTCTCCTTGCCCTTCCCAGGCTTCTTGCTCTTCTTCCCCATTGCGCGAAATTTAACCCCTTCTGGTCGTCCTTGTCTTGTTCTGGTTCTGACCTCTTCTCTCGCAAGCACAGCTGAGGAGTATGGGGCCCAATTAGGCAATCGCAAGCCTGAAGGGAGGTTTGCGCAATGGAATGCTGCTCAACTTCAAGGCTCGGAGAAAGAATGCTGACCAGTGTTCCGTCTTCACTTGAAACTGTGAACTGTGCGGCCAGCGCCGGCAGTGGTAACGGTTACGAATCAGGGGCCTGAGGTGGAGCCTACATGACCTGAAAACCGGCATTTCGAAACCTTTGATCCTCGTGATGAACGGCAAAATAGACGTTACCAGTGACGGGTTTTGATGAGCAACTAGCCATCTGTTGAACGGCATAAAAACCAGCCAACCTCATTCCGCCACGTGTCCCCCCATTCCACGAGGAAGGTTCAAGCGGCCCCGCGCCGCCCGGACCGCCCCGGGTGACCACCCGCGCGCCAGCGCGGGGCCGGGCTCTTCAGCGGTACCTGTACGATATATAAGAAGCCAAAAAAGCAATTATAAGCTTTAGCAAGAGTAAGGTCACCAGCCTGGGACTGCTGGGGTTAGTTTGGGGGTTAGGGTGGGTTGGGGTGCGGAACGGGTGATTTTGTAGGTTAGGGTTTTAGTGTTATTGCCGGAGCTTACTATTGCTACAACTCACTATTGCTAAATTGGGGGTCGCTCGGAGTAGGTACGGTACGGTAAGCCGGTACCCACTCAGTCATGCCAGAGATCCGGTCACAAGCTCGCGCGCCGGCCCCATTGCGCGCAGCGCGGGGGCGCGACCAACGGTACGTCAGCTTCGAGGCGCGGTCGCCGCGCGGCGTTCGTTTGGGCTCGATGATCGCAAGTCTTCTCTCCTCAAGTTTTATATTCGATCAGGCAATTTCGGACTAAAAGCAAGACTTCACCACGGCATACCCACTCCAGCTGTCATGTTTCGAAAGGGATGCAGATTGTGCGTAGATAACCCTCTCGAGGACGAACACCATTTTATGCTCACGTGTTGAGCATTTAGCAAGTCGGGAGCAAGTCGCGTCAGCTTCAAGTTATGTGGGCCAACATTGAAGGGAATCTCGTTCGTCTCGGCTACTGCAATGTTTGGATATACATGGTGCTTCTCCTTTAGCTCAGCTGTTCCATTTGCTTGGAAAAGGAGAAAGTGATTGGACTCCAGAAGCAGCCTCGATAATTGATTCTGCAGTGCGACGTTATTCGCTTAGAGCGACCGGTGAGTGGAAGTTGCTTCTGACAGCAATCTAGATTTTATTTGAGGAACGCACAGCTGAAAAATTCTTTGACTTGAACCCCAATTTTCTTCATCACTAACTATCTTCATGGTCTTGCTTCAAGAAAGTGACAAGCCGATGGCAAGCCTGTGACATTGCGGCAAACCTCCACCCCATAGAGCAAGCCGGAATTGAAGCGCTGTCCTTCGATATCCAAGGCCCACTCTTTTGCATATAATCACTACACGTCGAATTGATAACGGCTCATATTGCTTTTCATGGCAACGCCCGTGCAAGAGCTCGCGACCATAGTATGACTGCATGCTTGCACTCAAATTGTTTGTAATATCTATAACGTTGTCTTATGCCAATGCCAGATGTCCAAGCCCAAGCCCAAGCCCAAGCCTAAGCTCAAGCACGTGTCCTTTTGCATAGCACTTGATAGCGATTTGGAATAAGTCGTTACGCGCCGGTACCTTTTTCCCCTTATTTGAAAAGATCCCCCAAACTATGAAGTACGGGGCATGGGATTTTTCAACGGCCCGGCGCGATGACTTCTCCAATTAGATTTGCCATGGCTATAGTGAGTTGATGTCGATCTCAGGCTACGAATGGATCTAGGTCCCCACACCGCCGCTGCGATCTTCTTTCCAGACTCGATTGCAACTCTAGTAGTGCGGACAAGCCAGACTCAGAGGCAAAGAAGCTTAGTATGGAATAGAACCACCGGACTCGGTTTGGGAGACCAATAGTACTGTTAGTAGCTTCCAAATCTTACAAAAAAACGGCAAGATTGAGACACAAACAATTCATGTATTTTATGAGAAGCCTATGGCGTATTTGGCTGCGGCAAGTACGAAAAGAGACCATCAGTCCCGCTCAGCCATATACGGGCGAGCAGGCGGGGAGGCATTGGGGAGAAGACCGTTCCGCTCGAGGCCCTGGTACAAGTGAGTGGATGGATTACGAGAACGGGCTCTGCGGGAGTGCATTTCCTATTAGTGAGTAGGCAGAGAATGGCGCTGAGTCAACATCCCAGCAGAATGCGGGAAGGGTGACCGGGCTTGTCATTCAAGAGTCGAAAGGATATGTAAACGGTGAGGACGGGTTCGGTCGGAGAGTGGCCGACACAGAAAGTTTGATCCGAGGAAAGCTCACATGGCACATGTGCAGCACAAAGAATGAGTGTCCGAGCAGTTGCACAATCCTTGGGAGACCCGTACCATCAAAAGGGAGGGCACTCAAGCCGAAAAGAGGAAATTGGGTTCCACAACACGCTAGATATAACGTGCTTAGGGATAAACATGATATGGTGCCAGCTGCAGCTATAGACGATGGTAGTTGAGCGTGCTCATGACAATCGCGAGAGCTATATAGACTGATATGACCATGCATGCATGTATGCATGCAAGGGCGCACGAGCTATAGGCCTGGCCAGCATTCATATACATA